CACTCCAACCGTCCGAAGGGCGACAGCACCGGTGGCATGATCACGCTCCTGGCCGGTCCCGAAAGTGCTCAAGGGCAAGTATGTGCAATGAGCATCATTGCGTGGCGGACCTGGAAGCTCAAAAGAAAGGCCATTGGAAGCAACGACGCGGAGGTCCAAGCCATGCTGGAGTCGGAGGACCAGAACTTCAGAACTCGGCTGTTGTGGGCCGAAATCCATGGAGCTGGTGGCTTCGATTCCGAACGTGCTCTACGCAAGGACTGGGTGGAAGCCGAGGAGCAAATTGCGATGAAGGTGAAGGGCATCCTTTGCACCGACAGCAAGGGAGGCTATGATGCTGTGGAGCTGAATGAGAGCCCCCTTTTGGGCTTGAGCAACATGCGAGCAGCCCTTCAGGCGTTCCAGCTGAGGGACAACCTTCGTCGCACTGGTGGAGAACTACGTTGGGTGGCCTCGGATGTGGACCTCGGCGATGCCCTGACGAAGAAGCGACCCGATTGCCGGACTGGCCTCCTGAAGTTTCTACGCTCAGGCCGCTGGTGTATCAAGTTCGATCCCAACTTCGTGTCAGCCAAAAAGAACAAGAAAGCTGGCCGAAGCGCAGTCACAACTGTAGACGAGTCCCTTGGTCTCGGATGTGCACAACTGACTTCTTTTGGGGGTGGTGCGAATTGTGAAGCCTTGAGGTGTCAGTTCATGTATCAGTTGTGCGCAACCCGTGATGTATAGGCTTAGACCAAGGGGCCCCTTTTTCTAGGCCGGTTCTGACGGCAACCTGAGCCACGGACGGCGCGCCTGTGCGCCACTGGAAAAGGAGTGCTGTGTGCACTTACGTGAGAGAGAGCTCCCCACTTGAAACCCGACAACCTCACGAGTCAGAGCCCAATCACACGCTACCTGCGGCTACCCCGCTGCAGTCTCCTTAGAAAGCTTGGGGTGCCCAAAAGGATCCATGTACCCTTGTAGAAGATACAAGAGAAGTGGCTATCCACTTTGGGTACGTGGACCATTTCGGGTGTAGGGTTTAGGGTTAGGGTTTAGGGCCTTAGGGTTTAGGGTTTAGGGTTTAGGGCCCTTTTGGGGTGCACGGTTTGTGTGCTTAAACCCGAGAGAACCCCGCAAGACCCTGAGGCTTTTCTCCAAGATGCCTTTCTTCTTTGGGTGCCTCCCCCCCTTCCCCCCACAAACAAAAAACAAATCTGCTGCCTGTCTCCATGTTCACATTCAGTCCTTGGCCTACAGCCTTGGTTCGTTAAGGGTTTAGGAATTTAGGGCTTTTGGGACTCAAGATGCAGGGCTTGGGGGTTAGTAAAGCCCAAATGTTGCCCAAACCTGAAGTCGTCACGCAAAGCTTCTGGATGCCCTTGGATTTGAGCACGTGGAACAGCCAACCCGAAGCCCAAGTCCTTCTGAACCTGTCGGAAACCCGAATCCTGAGCCCGAAATCCTAAGCCCCAAAAAACCAAACCCTAAGTCAGAAGCCGCCCCCCAAATCCCGAAGCCTGAAACCCTGATCAGGCAGGTTTACCTTAAGCCCGAAACCCTAAACCCTAAACCCTGAACCCTAAACCCTAAACCCTAAACCTTCATGGTATCTTGGCCGGAGGCCGGGGCGCGCAGAGACAGCGAAGCCAAGCCAGAGGCGCAAGCGAAAGCTGGCAAACGGAAGCCTTGCACTCAAACACCTCTGTCTTGTATTGGTTGGTGGTCTCTTTAAGTAGGGTTCCTGTTTTGTAGGGGGTTCTGATTTAGGGTTTAGGGTTTAGGGTTTAGGGTTTAGGGTTTAGGGTTTTCTTGTTAGGGTACCTAGGGCTATATAAGGTATAAGGGCAACAGATCAGGAGACCACCGGCCCGTAGAACCTCTGTCTTAGAGCTGTATGGCAGACCCTGAAAAAATGCACTCTTTGGTGGTACGCCTTATAAAACATAAGGCACTGAACCAAGTGAAAGCTACTAAGAGTCCCATCGAACCCCAGGCCCTAAACCATAATAGGGTCTCAGGGCATAAGGGCACCCTCGAGCAATTTTGTTTGGGGGAGACTCGTATCGGCCCTCCGTGCTTCGATCTCACCCGACGGACCCCAAACCCTGCACTGCCCCTTACTCAAACCCCCAAAGCCCAAACCTCAGACCCTAAGCCCCAAACCAATCTAAAGAAACCAACTCAAAACCCGAAACTACAACTTAAAAAATCGAAATCTAAAGAAAGCCTCGAGACCACAGACAAGAAAAGAGCGCTGCATTAACAGAAGCAGCTTACACAAATCAAGAGAATCAACAAATCCCAACACCTGGACCCTGTGATGCTTGAGGTTCAGGGTTTAGAGTTTGGGGTAGCCTCCTGCCTTGAACCCCAGGCCTATAGCTTGAACCTCCAATTCGCAAGTTTTTCAAATAGGGTTCAGGGCAAGGACTTTGAAGCTTCAAACCTCACACCCCAATAATCTGCCCTGGGCTCCTTGCGATACCCTAAACCCTAAACCTTGTAAAACCCTAAACCCTAAACCAAAAGCCCTAAACCCTAAACCCTAAACCCTAACTATACCCTAAACCCTGTAAACCCTAAGCCCTAAAGCCTAAGGTCCTCGGCGGTTCCGCCGCTTCGCTGGCCGGAAGCACCTCCCGCCCCCAGTGAGGCCTGTGGTTCTTGGGCAAGGGCTTGGGTTTAGGGTTTAGGGTTTAGGGTTTAGGGTTTAGGGTTTAGGGTTTAGGGTTTAGGGTTTTTTAGAATCCTATGTGGGGTAGTTAGGGTCTCATGACGAGCTTGGGGCATGCAGGGTTTAGGGTACTGCGGGCGCTTTAGGCATCATGAAGGATACTTGGAGGCTTCGTTGAGGCTTTACAAGCCCCCCGAACTTTGCCCGAACAACGGCCTCAACCCAAACCCCATCTCATGCCTTGAACTTCGCCAAGCTCCAATTTCCTCAGCCCCTGTAAACCGACGTTGGTCCAGCTGGGATTCGGTGAGCCCGAAAGGCCCATCATTTGTTGTAGGGGCCCCCTTCTTCGAAATGAAAATTGCCAGCTGAAATGGAATACTATAGAGGTCGGAACAATTCCGCAGGGACTCGGAGGGACGCTCCCATGGATTGCACAAGAGGACCCACTGAGTGTTGGGTCACTATTAGGCCTCATCATCCCGATAATGAACCCAATAAAGGGCCTTTTTAAAGGGGTTATAGGGTCTAATAGCCCATCCTGATCACAGTCAATGTCATGCAACAAAGCCGTAAAGTCTTACACCCTGAGCCCGCACCCTGAACTCGAAACCTGTCGACCCCGAAGGTGTTGACCTCGATCTCTTTGAACCCCAAACCCCAAACCCCAAACCCCAAACCCCAAACCCCAAACCCCAAACCCCAAACCCCAAACCCCAAACCCCAAACCCCAAACCCCAAACCCCAAACCCCAAACCCTAAACCCTACCCTAAACCCTACACCCTAAACCCTAAACCCTAAACCCTAAACCCTACACCCTACACCCTAAACCCTAAACCCTAAACCCTGAACCCAGCCATGCAGGCCCCGCCCTATGGCACCGGCTCGGAAGCTCTGGAGGCTGCCAAGCTCCTGAAACTCTAGGGTTTAGGGTTTAGGGTTTAGGGTTTAGGGTTGGTCAAAAGCCCTAAAAAACCCCCTGATCCCTAAATCGTGAAAAAAAGTAGAATAAAACAAAAAGACCCAAACCCCGAACCCTAAGCCCTAAGCCCTAAACCCCCAAAGTTCGGATGTGGCAGTGCAAGGTTCGTAGGGTTTGTAGTTTGGTTAGTTCATGCACGCGTTTGGGGGGGGGGGGGGGGTGTGTGTGTGTGTGTGTGTGTCAGAATTTCGGGCCATTCCCCGAAGTGCTCTAAGCATCAGAGCCCAACAAAGCGCTGGACATTTCCCGGGGTTCTTGGCATTTCCAAGAATTGAGGTCCTCCTGACAGAAAACCTTTTCAGGACCACAACAGCTAGGCACCCAGAAGCAGGAGACCAGTCGGAGCCCAGCTGCGTGGAAAACACATAGGAGCCCACATCCACGAAGTATTTCTTAAGCCCCCAAACAACGAACACAAGCCCCTGCAGTCGAGCAAGCCCCTGCCGAAGGGACCTGCAAATTTGCCGGAACCCCCCTTCCAAATTACGATTTGCAGAGTTTCAGCTCTTGGGGGTGGGAGGCCCTTAACTCGGGATTTGGTCTTAGGGTTTAGGGTTAAGGGGCTGAAGTCAACGGGGTACTGGATGAGGCGAGCGGCAGCCATGATGCAGAGAGATTGCGCCGGGTTGCGCAGGCGCAGGGCACGTTGGATCCCGAAGCGGTGTTCTAGGCGATTTCGGGTTTAGGGTTTAGGGTTTAGGGTTTAGGGTTCGGGCTTGGGAAACACGACCAAAACCTTGAACTCTACGCCTAGCAGGGTTTCAGGACTTACAGTGTCAGGGACTAGGACCCAGAGTAGGCCCTCATTTCCTTCTTGTTTTGGTTTTAGGTTCCCTTATAAGCCCCTTTAAGCCAGAAAGGGCGCCCTTTGGCTATTCCTAGGTTACTCCTCGGTCTGGGTGAAGCTATATTCAAGACTGGCCATGTTGGGAGCATGTCTTCACCAGCTACCATATCAAGGCAAGGCAAGGGAGAAGGCGGCAGCATGCTAGGATTCGAGTTTAGGGTTTAGGATTTAGGGTTTAGGGTTTCGGGTTTAACGTCGGGTTTAGGGTTTAAGGTGTAGGGTTTAGGGTTTAGGGTTGAGGGTCCTAGCAGCTGGAAAATTGTGAGTCAGTCTGCGCAATCTGCAGCTTGTTTTTGTAGGGATTGGTGTGGCAGAGTATTTTGTCTTCAGGTTCTTCGAGGGCTAGCACAGAAGGATCCTTTGGAATCACATCTCGGGCTTGCAGGATACTGGGGAGTTGGTCGTCTGCATACGCATGCAATAGAAACGCCAGCAATTAAGATATAGTTATACATCGCCTTTGTGGGTCTGCCTGGAGGTGCACTGAAAACTCGTCTGTGAGTTTCACCCAATGTCTGGAGCTGCCGCCCTGTCCAAGTTTGGGCAATACATCGAAGCATACAACCAGCACGACATCGATTGCGTGCTCTCGTTTCTGGCCGACGACATCCAAGTCTTCGTCAACGATGACCTGGCAGCCGAGGGAGCAGAAGCACTGCGGCCAAGCTATGTGTCCGACTTCGATGAAAAGAAGAAGGTGACAGTTGTCAAGGATCCTTCGATTGTGAACGAAGACGAAGTGTCGGCAACAGTAGCCGTGACGCTGAACACAGGCAAAGTTCAGCTGGATGTCTTGTACGTATTCCGACTGCCAGATCTGAAGCAAGTTAAGCACAAGCTGTCGAACATTGTGAACCTGGACTGATTCACGGCACACATGGACAACGCTGACAAGCACACTTTCCATGCGCTGAACTCATGTATTGCACAGCTGCGCCGCATAGGCTAGGGCAAGTTTCGCAGAATGGCTGCTTCGGCGGTGTGGTAAAAATGAAACTCGGCCTTCAATGTGACATGTCAAGATCCGCTTAACGCTTGCCAGGCTTCTACGCCACCATTGTCGCCACACTGAGGGTACTCTGCCCAGCAAATTATGCTCAGCTCTAGTCAGTTCTGCCAACCATGGCTGTAGCCTGAACACAAATGTGCGTAGTAACCCCAGAAACCCGAAACTCCAGACTTCCCAAGCTAAAGGCTGACCACCCGGAACCTTTTGTCAAAGGTAGCGAGATAGCAGCTTGAAGCGCCGCTTCTGTCAATGGACAAGCGAGTCCAGGCTAAGCCTGGCCTCCGAGCTAACGCCCTCAGCAAGGCTGTGTCCTAATTCTGCTCGGCCGACCCACAGAACCTATGACGAGTCATGGGCTTCAATATCTGACGTTTGGGACCTCAAGGGGAACAGGTAGTTCGGCCCAGACATGACAGAGCCATTGCTTACCCCAAAAATCGAGTTTCACACATTTGCAACGCTTGCAGCTTGCCACCTCAGGAATAGCCACTTGGCGAGTGCCAGCAAGCAAGAGAATGCATGATATTGCCCGGGTTAGTCGTAGCAGCGCGCGCATCTCCAAAAGAGCAATCTTGCACTCTCTCTCCCCCTTCCCTCGCCCTCTCCCTCTCTCTCTCTCCCTCTCTCCCTCTCCCTCCTCTCTCTCTGTCTCTGTCTCTGCGTGTGCTTGTAATGTGCCATGACCTTTCCTGGATTGCGTGGTGTCAGAGTAGCATAAAGATGTGTAGACTCGTCTAGACACCGAGACGTGCCTGCGCTGTGTCTGTCTTGGCTCCTAGTAGTCGAAACCAAACCCCCCATGCCTGGTCTTTTTCCCGGCGAGTGATGTGACCTGCCTCAAACTTTGCCTACTGCAGCATGTACCGAACAGGGAAGCCGCCAGCATCTGCTTACACTAGCACACTGCTCTGCCTTTCAGGAGTAGTCGACACATGCAACGATGAGATTCAGATACCCCGGTGTTATGCTACAAACGGCACGTTCCATTGGCACGAGTTGGTCAAAGCTTGCAGTGGACATCTTACAGTCGTATCAATGCATCTTTTTTGCCGGGGGGGGGGGGGGGGGGGCGAAGCGGGGGAAAGGCCCAAAAGCCTAAGCCCTCAACCCTCGACCCTAGACCCTAAACCCTTGGGTACATTTGTCAGTGCAAGTGGCCCAAGCGCCCCCGAACGAGTGCCCTAGTCTCCAAGGCAAAGGCAGCTGGCCGTGGCATGGCTGGCGTGGCTGGTGCATCACAAAGTCGCCTCCGCGGACACCTGTAGGCTGGTGGTTACGGTTTCGGGTTTTGGGTTTCGGGTTTCGGGTTTCGGGTTTAGAGTTTTGGGTTAGGGTTTAGGGTTTAGGGTTTAGGGTTTAGGGTTTAGGGTTTAGGGTTTAGGGTTTAGGGTTTAGAGAATGTGCTGTGTCCCATGTCAGAAGCATACCAGGTAGACGTACCTGTTCGAAGCACTATCACTGTTCCAGCAAAGCATACTAGAGATTGCTGAGAGATGTTTGGGGCTCCTCAATTACGAGCCCAGAACCAATAGTTTCTTGCCATGAACAAATCCTTAGGAGGAATCAGGGCTCCTCCATGCATCGAAACAAAAGAAGCCCTTCTAGGACTCTTAGGCTGCCTGCTGGATGGAGGGAGGAACAAGTCTGAACCTGAGTCGACAAGTGCTGCTTTGCAGAACCAAGCATATGTTTGTTATGTAGCACGTTCTATTCATATTATGATTTACCATAGTTGTTAATTTTTACAATTATTACTATCACCATTAGTATTATTATAACTGTACTTATTGTTAATTGTCGAAATAACTGGTGCTTTCTACTAATACTGCTATCATTGTTATTGTTTATGGCATTGTTGCATTGTACTAGTATAGTTATCATCATTCTTCTTGTATTATATGAACATTATTCTTGCTAGGTTATAGTAGTATCATTAATGTGGATGTTTTTCATGATGATATGCTACTGCTTCATATTACTGTTATGTTAAGCTAAACTTGTTATCATTCTTGTTATTCGTAGTATCTTTGCTATGTTCTACTACAATTTCTATTGTTGTTCGAGTATGTTAATAGATTATTGTACTGTCGTACTACGATATGGCTATGGCAATATTGTTTGGTTAGTGTATTGTTACCCGAAACCCAAACCCAAAACCCTCAACCCTCAACCCTCAACCCTGCACCCTAAACCCCAAACCCAAAACCCTAAACCCTCAACCCTCAACCCTGCACCCTAAACCCTAAACCCTAAACCCTAAACCCTAAACCCTAAACCCTAAACCCTAAACCCTAAACCCTAAACCCTAAACCCTAAACCCTAAACCCTAAACCGTAAACCGTAAACCGTAAACTTAAACCCTAAACCCTAAACCCTAAACCCTAAACCCTAAACCCTAAACCCTAAACCCTAAACCCTAAACCCTAAACCCTAAACCCTAAACCCTAAACCCTAAACCCTAAACCCTAAGCGTCCTCCGGTGGCAGGTCGTCGGAGGACGCGTCGCTGATCCAGCTAGCTGCAGGAACGCTCAGGCAGCGAGCCAGCCATTGCTTGAATCTTGATTCTTATGGCCACGTTTTTTTCTTCACCCTAAACCCTAAACCCTAAACCCTAAACCCTAAACCCTAAACCCTAAACCCTAAACCCTAAACCCTAAACCCTAAACCCTGACCCCAAACCCTAAACCCTAAACTGTGCAACTTCCTGATGTAGCTAAGGAACACTTATCAGCGACTCGGCAGGGCTCCCTTTTTAGGGTTTGGGGGAGTGGTCCCCAGCTTGGGTGAAGGGACAAGAGGCGTGACTCCATGAAAGTGACCACCTTCTTGCGGCTCCGGCAGGACTACTTAGGTATTTACTATGAGAGTTGTGTTCAAGGGCTCATAGGTGGCGTTCAAGGGTTTATAGGGCTTCCTTCCTGCCGTGCTCTGGACCTCGTACACCTTTGCTGTATCAACCTACCCTAAACCCTAAACCCTAAACCCTAAACCCTAAACCCTAAACCCTAAACCCTAAACCCTAAACCCTAAACCCTAAACCCTAAACCCTAAACCCTAAACCCTAAACCCTAAACCCTAAACCCTAAACCCTAAACCCTAAACCCTAAACCCTAAACCCTAAACCCTAAACCCTAAACTAAGTGAGGGGTCGCTTCCGTCGAGCGACAGACCCCGAACGCTCGGCCGAGGGCCTTACAGCCCGAGCGCCCAAGCGAAAAGAGAAACGGAAAGATGAGGGTTAAGCCTCACCGTCTGTCCTGGACAGGCCAACGGACTTTTACGACAACGTCAGTACTCGCCTAAGGGATGGCCGGCACCCAGACCACCTTTAGCGTAGCTAAAGTATAACCCCAAATCATAAGCCTTTGTGTCTGAAAATCGGTTCAGGGTTTTGGGTTTGCCGGGCCCCCCCCCACGGGGGCCCCCTGGCCCCTGGTGGCTGGATTTCTGGAGCAGGAGGCTGGCGAGGGGGTCCAGGCAGGCTGGTTGCTCAAGCTCGTGATTCTTGGATCAAAACAGGGTTTTTCACGGCTTTTCTACCCCCCCCCCCCTCCAGGGCCTCACGTCTCCCGGGGCCTCTGCCGAGGCCCCCGCCTAGAGACCCTTATTTGCGCGGCCCCAGCCAACAAAGCGACGCCCGCCAAGGCCAGCCCGCGAACCCAAAAGCTCGAACCAAAAAGTGGCCCAGGGCACCCTCCATTTACCCCACAAGGCCCCCCAAAAAAACACCAAGAGCCACCAAAAGGCTTCAAAAGGCCCTGTAAAGGAGGTTTGCCCCTGCCCACAATGGAAATGTGATTTTTAGTACTAAGAACGATGGTTTTGGGCACCCCTGCATTTTGCTCCAAAAGGGCCAGGAAAGCCCCAGCAAGCCCCAGCAAGCCCCGAGACACCCCAAGAGCCACCAAAAGGCTTCAAAAGGCCCCCTAAAAGAAGGGGGATGCCCGTACCCGCAATGAAAAATGCGTTTTTTTGGTACTGAAATCGATGGTTTGGGGCACCCCTTCATTTTACCCCGGAAGGGCCAGGAAAGCCCCCAGGAAGCCCCCAAAAGGCCCCAAGAGCCACCAAAAGGCTTGAGGCCCTTAAAGAAGGGGAATCCAGGAGCAGGCACAAAGGGTTTCCCTGACCTTCAAATAAAAAAGGGTATACGGGCCCTGACACGCCGAAGGCCCGAAAAGGGCCGAGGCTACCCCCAACCCCAGCTTAAACCCTAACACCGCAACTTTAACAACATCAAAGCAAGCTTGCAAACCAAACTCCCGCGACTTGGGACTCCGGGGGCCCTCTGGAAGCTGGTGGACCTCTTTTCTCTAGCCGGACGCTCAGGGCTTAAAAGGCTTGGGGCCTACGGGCCCTGACACGCCGAAGGCCCGAAAAGGGCCGAGGCTACCCCCAACCCCAGCTTAAACCCTAACACCGCAACTTTAAAAACATCAAAGCAAGCTTGCAAACCAAACTCCCGCGACTTGAGAAGGGGAATCCAGGAGCCGGCACAAAGGGTTTCCCTGACCTTCAACTACGGGCCCCGACGCGCCGAAGGCCCGAAAAGGGCCGCGGCTACCCCCAACCCCAGCTTAAACCCTAACACCGCAACTTTACAAACATCAAAGCAAGCTTGCAAACCAAACTCCCGCGACTTGAGAAGGGGAATCCCGGAGCCGGCACAAAGGGTTTCCCTGACCTTCAAATAAAAAAAGGGCCTCTACGGGCCCTGACACGCCGAAGGCCCGAAAACGGCCGAGGCTACCCCCAACCCCAGCTTAAACCCAAACACCGCAACTTTAAAAACATAAAAGCAAGCATCGGGGCACAAGAAAATAAGTTCCATAAACCCTAAGCCCTAATAGAGTATAGTGTGGGTGGCCGGGGTGGGTTGACGGGCAACGCGAGCGCGCGGCCCGGGGTGTTTCACACCCGAGCACGCGCCCTCCCCTGACACACCCTAAACCCTAAACCCTAAACCCTAAACCCTAAACCCTAAACCCTAAACCCTATACACCACCAAGGCGGTCAGTGGAGCACATACTCCCCGGCTTTGGTGAGCACCTTCTTCTCCGGAGTTGTCTGTCGGCACTGCTGGATCATAGGGTTTAGGGTTTGGGGTGCGAGTTTCGTGGCTTAAGCCCGGTCAAGTCCTGCTGCTTCGGCACGACCAAAACCATCTGACGAGTGGCTGAATGAATGGAAGAGGACAGCATCCGAATAACATTCCGATGTGGTGGAAGCTAGCATTGGAGTTGACCTTAGCTTGCCGATGTCCTCAACAATTCCTGCTGGCATTGCAAGCCCCTCCACCCTAAACCCTAAACCCTAATACCCTAAACCCTAAACCCTAATACCCTAAACCCCTACGCCCAGGTTGGGGTGGCGAGGCTGGGACTCCCAAGGCTTCGACCACTGCGGCGCCGATCCTGGGTGTGGGCTTTGATGCTGCGACGTCACTGGCCATGGCCACCTTCTGTCGGCAGCGAGGTGCCGTGGCTTTTATGGCAGCACCCCTAGGAATTCATACTCCTGGTAGCCCAGACACCCTACATCCTAAACCCTAATAAACCCTAAACCCTAAACCCTACCAGGCCATCTCAACACCCCTAAGAATTTACACTCTTGCTGGTCTAGGGGTACCCTTCCTCGCCCCGTTTTGAGCTCTGGGTTTTCCCACATGAACACAACCAACCAACAAAAGGGCCCTTATTAAAATATGTTCGCTAGGCTACCAGGTAATACTGGTAGGCTGACACACCCATGACTTGCACTGTCCAGTTGCGGGTGTCTTCTCTTGTGCGTTACACTATTCCTGCTAGAAATTGGCACAGCTTAGGCCACCGCGCATTCTGACTGGAGAAACATGACCTGATCATGAGTGTGGCATATGACCATCCCTCTCTTAACCCTAAACCCTAAACCCAAAACCCTAAACCCCAAAAAGCACATTGCGAGGCCTGTCGGTGCTACATGCTCGGCCCGGACAGCACTCTCACTGGATCCAGAGCTACCCTGCACTGTACGGGGACTTTAAATCCTCAGGCACGTGGATGCCGGGGAAGCCCCCAATTCCCTTCAACATGTTCCCTAAACCCTAAAACCTAAACCCTAAACCCAAAACCCTAAACCCTAAACCCTCAACCGCAGCTTCTTGCAACCAGCTGCACAACTTTCACATTCACTGAGGGCTCAAGCAGAAGACGTGCTTCGGGCTTAAGGTTTAGGGTTTAGGGGATTAGGGTTTAGGGTTTAGGGTTTAGGGGATTGGGGTTTAGGGTTTAGGGAGGGGATTAGGGTTTTCCTGCACGCAGAGGCCGATGCAGAAAGGAGTTGGACAAGTTCAACTTCTCCGCTGCCGTGGGGGAGGGCTACAATGTTTTGTCGCGCGCTTAGATTCGGTTTTTGCAGTCGCCCTCCAGTTGCCAGGGTTTAGGGTTTCGGGTTTAGGGCTTCGGCTGTAGAATCGTCATTGGGTTAACATGCCAGGTTTAGATTTTCGACACCAGAAGACCAGACAAAGCCAAGCAGCCAATGGCCACCGCCAGCCGGCACAACCCTAAACCCTAAACCCTTGAGGACTTAAACCCTTACTAAGCCCTCAGCCCTAGATCCGAAGCCCCACCCACCTTAATCAGGGCCTAGGTGTAATCACCTTAGGCTCGCCTCATTGAAGGGCTTTGGGGTTTCATTGTAAGTCCGATCTCGACGGTTCTGCGTGGTTCGGCTGGGTTCCATGAGGTTCGACGAGGCGGTGTCGCACCATTTTCTGGACTTCTTCTTCACGTCCCCTGATTCTTGGTAGCCCACTGGTGCCCTTTTGCCCTTTTCTTTGTCCTAGGTTCCCTTATTCCAGGAACCAGCCCAGAGGAAGGGTTATCCTTCTTACAGTATGGTTCTTGGGCTACCAAGGATTCCAAAGTCCTCCTTGCAGTGCACCCATTCACTGAGCATCGGAACATGACCAGCAGCGTCCGCCTCCGACACTTGCCTAAAAATAATTTGTGTGCGGATAAGAGAAGTCGTCCCGTGTACTAGAGGGTCTCCTTAGGCAGGATTCTGTTCCACTCTTCTTTAATCCCCGAGGGGATGTATGCAACTGCTTATGTTGGTTCAAAGGCCTTCGAGGGGTAGGTAAGCCACGGCGGCGGCCGTCACAACGCTAACCCCTAAAACCTCTAGGATTATTGCAGCTCTCCTCTACAGGAGCGCTGCTGAAGTTTAGGCCGCGCACACCTGAAGAAGCTCCGAAGCCCCCCACGTGGTACGAATCAGGATCGGAACACAGCTTCCCTGCATTGTCCGCATGCCGCCGCGATATGGTGGGCCGGCCCTGACAAGCATGTCTTGGCAGGGGTCAGGTTTCTTTTCTCTTGGGGGCTGCCTTGCGTTAGGTCGTATATGGTTTGTTGCTACGCAACATGAATGAACAAGTAAAAGCATCCTTGCATGCGAGGTTTTTGCCTAACACGGAAGGAGCCTAAAAGGTTGCTCTGCGTCGGCCACCCACAACTCAGCCTTAAAATCCGAAGCCTCATCTTCGGTAGAGTGGGCTGTAGTTTATAGGGCTTATGCAGTCGAGCCGAACAAGTTTCAGCAGGAGGTGTGAGACTGCCACTATCGGGTGTGTCCTGATGCTCAGGCGAGTATATCGCAGCCTGAAGCTATACACCTCATGCGAGCACATCAAGACTTGGTGCGTGCCTTGCAGCAAAGGCCTCAAACCCCATGCACCTGTCATAGACGTTGTGATAAAACCCTAGCCTAAACCCTAAACCCTAAACCCGAAACCCCAAACCCTAAACCCTAAACCCGCAGCACCAGTAGCAGCCTAACACGGTTTCGGTTTTGGGGTTAGGGTTTTGAAGCCCGAAACCCGAAAGCATAGACCCAGAAAATAGCCCATAGCACTTTTTTGCCCCAAGAGCTGCACGCGTGCTCAGGTTGTGTTGTGCCTCGCGAGCAGCTATTGGAAGTGCACCTGGAGGCCAAGATGTGACCCAAAATGAGAGCCTTTTAGTATCTTCATAAGGGAGCATGGTCCTACACCCTGAACCCTAAACCCTACACCCCCAAGCCCTAAACCCTAAAACCTAAGCCCTAAACCCTAAACCCTAAGCCTTCCTCGCTCCTTATGAGGACAACAACGTCACAGAGATCTCTGCTTTCTTGGGCCTGGGGCTCCGACAGTACGAGCCCTGGGCTGCAGTTTAGGGTTTAGGGCTTGAGGGCTTTGGTGTTTAGGATGTAGGGGTTAGGGTTTTGGATGGGTTAGTGTGGACGGCTTGCCCAGAACTGCCTCTGATCGTGGAGGGGATGGTGAGAGCAGGTGTCTTGCGATGAAGCGTTGATCATGCGACAGTGCTCCGCGACCCTTTTTGACACCGCCCTTCCCCACAGGACGCCAGTACGCTTTAGGCCAGCACGTGTCGGGGCCGAAGCGCATGACAGCGGAGCACGACTGGGCTAACGCATCCGCTGGGGTGGCAACGGTCGACTGCACCTCAACATCGGCAGTCTGGCGCCGGCTGCGGTGTAGGGAAGGCCCTTTCAAGGAGAGCCATGTCTTTGTGTCGCCAAGCCGTCTGTCGGCCATGCTTTCTCACCGGCGGTCGTGTGCTTGTGCTGGCGAAGGTCTTGAGAAAAGTTTCAAACTGCTTCAAGGAGGGGCAGGTGCAGAGTAGGAATGCGATCGAGCAGCCAAATGGAGTTTGGACCCGATGGCGAGATTAGCGTAAGGATTGGGCAGCTGCCGCCCGTGATGGCCTGGTTCCAAAGATCATTCGACCCCAAACTACCTTAAGAACTCCCAAGCAATTCAAGATAGCTATCCCTATAGTAGCCTTAAAAGGAAGAATATGTCTATTCTTATGGGGGTTCTGAAGCAAGTTGTAGTAAAAGCTATGCAATGAACCCTTGATTGGCTTTAGTCCCTCAACTCAATCCTTGAACCCAGGTTGGTTCGTGCACACAAGTTCTTTCGTCGGGCGCTAGAGCTGCTACAGGTCTTCTTGCTGTTGGTTAGCAGGGAATGAGGGAATTAGGGCCCCAAATATACCCTTTAAGGGATTCAAGAGGGCACCTCATTCCCCATTCCCTGCTCACCAACGGTAAGTCCTTGTGACCCTTCCAGCGAGCCCTATAAATCTCTGAAGCCTTGACCCCAACTCCCTGCAATCCTGAACCCTGAGCCCCCAACGAGGTTGGTCCAACAAGCCTTCGCACCTTGAACAACCTAAACCCTGGACCCTAAACCCTAAACCTCTCTTACTTATTATAATTCAGACTTTAGTGACCGGCAATTTGGCCTCCTTCGTGGGCGTTTTTGCCTGCTTCGTGGGCATTTTGCCTGCTTCGTAGGCATTTTGCCTGGTTCGGTCACCGGGGAACTTTCAGTCGCTAGGGTTTGGGGCATAGGGTTGAAGGCTTGGGGAGAGGATCTGCTGTGGGCCTTAGATTTCGGGCTTTGGGTTCACTGGACTTTGAGCTTGAAGCCTGCCGGGAATGTATTGTATGAACTTTATATTTTCTCAATGATATGGGTTTCTTGGGCGGGTGGGTGTTTTCTAACGCTTGACAAGCTGCTTGACTAGTGAATGCTCGGACTTTACATGCTGAACCCTAAACCCTAAAACCTAAACCCTAAACCCTAAACCCTTAACCTAGCCATTGCTTTCCCAGGAAGCTCCATGGCCACAGTTTAGGGTTGGCTACACGCCCGAGTTCCGCGGCGGCGGGGACTTGCGGGTGGCTGGAAGCAACTGCTTTGGGGGGTTTTTCAGGCTGAAGATTTCAGCTTTCGAAGCTTGGGGTTTAGGGTTTAGGGTTTAGGGTTTAGGGTTTCGTTTCCACCATAACTTTCAGGCTCAGGGCTTAGGGTCCTCAACCCTGCACCCCCTAGCAAGCGGGGCTCTGGGTGACTTGGAGGATGGGACTCCTCCACCCTAAACCCGAATCCCTAAACCTTTAGGGTTTAGGGTTTAGGGGTTAGGGGTTAGGGGTTAGGGGTTAGGGGTTAGGGGTTAGGGTTTAGACCTTAAGGGGCCTCTCCGAGGGAATCTTCAATGTTACAGGGTTTCTTTTCATCGTTCTTGGCGAGTGTATCAATATTGCTGAGTGTATATGTGTGGGGTCTTCTTTCTTGTGGGCACTGGCAAGTAAAATCCCACCCCAAAGGACCCCCAATCCCTAGGAAGTCGGCAAGACGCTGTCCGTGTGCATCACGGGTCAGATGGGCCGTTTGGAGCTCCAGTCCAAGATCGCGCACGTCATAAAACCCGCCTCGCAGAGCGGTATGCAGGCTCCTTGCCTTCTGGAGCCCCCACTTTTTTTTTCTGATCAGGGGGCACTTGATCCTTCCACTATCTATCCATCTATCTATCTATCTATCGATCTATCTGTCGATACATACATATTCATCACGTCTATGTATGTATATATAACTCTATATATATATATGTGGCATATACATATGTGTATATATATATATTCTTTATTTCTTTATTCATTTATCTATGTATGCCCACATATGTATGTACAAAAAATATATACAGCCAGAAAAGCCTTTTGATAGTGCTTTGGGTTAGGGGTAGACAGGGCAGGTTTGCGGCATTGACCCCAAATCCTCAAGCGTTTAGGATTCAAGGTTTAGGGTTATAGGGTTCAGGGTTAAGGCCCGCAAGCCTGCGTGAATTCGAGGTGATTGTGATGCTCGTGCTCGATCCTCGAGCGGACACACATTTTGTTCATAGAGGCGCGGTGGCGGAAATCTTCAGGGTTCACGGTTGAGTGCGCCGATCCTTCAGAGTTCGGCATTGAAGCTGCAGGTGTTTCTTGAGTTTGCACCCCAACGCTGCAACCAGCAACGATGCGCTCTCAGCCTCAACCCTAAACCCTAAACCCTAAATCTTCCCCCGCCGAGGAGGCCTCGATGTGGCGATTGGGCCCTACAAGACCTTTTCGGAGTTTACGGGCCTGATCCCGGCCCCGGCCTCCGTGATCTACGAGCCCTTCATTCCCAAGGACCACCCGATTGTGCCTGGGTACCTGGAGGAGCTCCGCAAGGAACCAGGCTCGAGTCCTCCATGGGCTTTGGGGAAAAGGTATTTTGGGGGTAGGGATGTTGTTACAAGCAGGGTTTGGGGTTAAGGGTTTAGGGTTTTTGGTTTCGGGTTTTGGGTTTAGGGTTCAGGGCAGCTCAGATTGGCTGTGATTAATTGTTGTTTGTCGTGTTTGAAGGTAATCCTCGCCTGCGTGCCTTCTCCCACATGCAGGGCGCCCAGCTCGTTTTCGGTTTTTCGCCAGTGCTTAAAGACTCACTCAACCTGAGTTCTCATGCTGTTCTAACCCTAACCCCAAACCCAGCTTCTGAAGGCGACAGTGGGAAGCTCTCACCCGATGCGCGGAGCTGCAGAAACATCTGGAGCCAGATTTAACGCTGAGGCTGCGAGAGGACCACCTGCTACGGTTCAAAAAAACGTAAGAGCTTGTGCACCATGAGTCCTTAACAAAACCTGAATCCTATAAACCCATATATGTCTCAGCCAAACGAAGAAGCCACCGGTTGACGTGAATCGTAGCCCGCTGCCGAACCCAGAAAACACAGCAAATGGCGAACAATTTGGCATTTGGGGGGGTTTAGGGCACTTGCCATGTGCGCGCAAGTTGGCATGACTCTAAAACCCTGAACCTAAGCCGAGCTTCTTGAATTTGGGGCCTTTGCAATCCAGCTCGCGGTTGCAAGGACACGTTCGTCCTGCGCACACTACACCCAAAGGGGGACGCCGAAGGCGTGTATGTGCCGCAGTGCCGGCCATGTGGTGGCCACAATGACAAGGCAGTGAATGGAGGGTTAGGATTTGGGGCTTCCAAATTTTGAGGCTTTAGGGTTCAAGGTTTAGGGTTTAGGGTTTAGGGCTTAGGGCTTAGGGCTTAGGGTTTAAGGTTTAGGTCGCTCTAGTAGAATCATAATAGTAGATGTATGAGATATGAGGGTTCAGGGTTCAGGGCTTGGGCTTAGGGTTTCAGAACACCAGGCCCAGTTGAGGAATCTCGGGGATTTGGGATGGGGGAAGTTGAACCCTGCATTATACTAGTATAAGGTTTAGGGTTTAGGTTTGGGGCTGAGGGTTTACGGTTTTGGGGTTTAGGGATTAGTGTTTAGAGTATTGTGGTTACACTAGTATATTCGAGTGTTCTTATGTTATTGTTTCTCTGTTGTATTTAATTTTAAATGTCTGGATGTCTCCATGTTGCTTTTTTGCCCGAAGGGGGTGAAAGCAAACCTTCCAAGCTCAAGTCTCCACTGCCTCCATTGAACCGTAGGTAGCACCCTAAACCCTAAACCCTAGACCCTATACCCTATAAACCCTATAAACCCTAAACCCTAAACCCTAAACTGCCCCGGTGTGCACCAGGAAAGAGCTTCGATCTTCTTGCGTGCATCCGAGCTCTCCGTATTCTGAATAGTGCGGTGTTTCCCGAAAGGCGGCCATGGCTGTTGGTGCCGATGTGGCCTACAGGCATCCCGGGCTTAGGGTTAGGGTTTAGGGTTTAGGGTTTAGGGTTTAGGGTTTAGGGTTTAGGGTTTAGGGTTTAGGGTTTAGGGTTTAGGGTTTAGGGTTTAGGGTTTAGGGTGTTCATGTTCAGGGAGTATAGTGTTCAGGATAGTTCAAACTACGAGACATTCCCCTTACAGAAACGATCGGCACTCCAATTTCCTGCACCCCCTGCGAAGCCACGCTAGTGACATGAATAGAGATGGTGATGCTGGCTACGAGCGAGCTCTGAAACAGGGTCCATGAGCCCTTGTGTAAGTGGGAGGGTAAGTGCAACAGCAACATGGTGCAATAGTGTGGACCATCATCATGAGCACGAAGGAAAGCAGCATCCGCCATACTTCAACCCTTCCAAAGCCCTATAATCCCTATAAGCACGAAGCGCGATCGTGCTTAAAGTTGCGTTCCGTATTTTAGACGTGCAGACTTCGCAGTTGCAAAAGGGGCCAAAGCCCTAAACCCTGAGGTGCCTTCCTTGTGTCCATTGACACTGAGGGGTCCTGAACCATAATCCCTATGCCCGAAAGGTTTGGTTAGGGTTTAGGGTTTAGGGTTTAGGGTTTAGGGTTTAGGGTTTAGGGCTTAGGGCTTAGGGCTTAGGGCTGAGGGCTTAGGGCTTAGGGTTTAGGGCTTAGGGCTTAGGGCTTAGGGCTTAGGGCTTAGGGCTTGGGGTTTGGGGTTTGGGGTTTAGGGTTAGGGTGTAATGTGTAGAGTGTGCAAAGCCGAAGTGGGGCACTGGAATCGGCAGTAAAGTAAAGGACTCACGTCGGAGAGGTACTTGACCACCCCGCTTCGTTTGATGAGATCTGACTTCGACTTTATCCGCAAGCACCACAAGGCCACGCACGTTCAGGGTTTACGCCTTGGAGTTTCTTTCTGTGTAGCCGCGACTCCTCGCTTGTGTGGTTCTGGGTGAAGGCTTGTTGCTTAGGATTTAGAGCGCCGTAAAGTCTAAGTCAGGAATGTCTTGGCAGCGATCTAGTGGCTGAGTGTTGGGCTTTTGCCCCCAGAAACTGAAATCTTGACCAGTGGAAACTAGTTTTGCCAGAATTCAACCCTGAGCCTTCAAATCCAGTCAGGCTAGCAGCGTGGGCTTATGTGGGGGGAAGTGTGTTTTTGCGGACATTCGCACATGTAGAAGATGTAGCAATGGACTGCGCATCCACACGACCCTCGGGATGAACCGCCATCCCCTCAGGCAATCCCACAACACGGCCGGACCCGAAAGCGTTTGCCATCCAAATCCTAAAGCTTACTCCCCAAGCCCTAAACCCTAAACCCCAAATACAAAGCCCTAAACCACTTCCCGGAGAAGATACCGATAGCTCAAGAGCCAGCATGAACTGTGAGCCTCTCCTCATTCCTCCGATGTGAGGCGCATTCCAAGGGTGCAATGGGGCCAGAGGCTGTTTCTCGAACAAAGCCGGCTGCATTGTCGTTAAGGGTTGGGGGTTTAGGGTGTAGGGTGTGGGGTTTTGGGGTTTAGGGTCATGGGTTTGGGGTTCAGGGATTTATTGTTGGGGTTGGTGTCGCCATGGGCCCAATCCTTTCTAAACCCCGACCGAGTTCCTTGCGAAGCCTCCATCGCCTTAGCATCAGGCCCCTCCCGGAAGAAATGAATTCCCTTCCCCTTGAGACAAACACCCCCGCCCCTACCCCAGAACCTTATTTCGTGTCATTGCAGTTGCTGCAGCAACTGCTGCAATGGCATGAGGCTGGTTTCAATATTCAGGAGTGGCTACGTTAGGGGAACTCAAGATTCCCGGAATCCCAGCATGCTCTACGTAGGCCATATGTACCGCATTTTATGGGCAAGGTTTCCTCCACAAGCCATGAACCTAACCTGGAGGCCTTGCCTTAGCTTGAAAATTCAGGTCCTGATGGAAAGCCTATTCAAGGCGAACATCACCGCCTTTCCTCTGTCGCCGGACAACCTGCCAATGGCACCTGCCCGGCACGCCAAGTACGAGGATCGGCCACAAAGGGGGGTTACCCCTAAACCCTAAATCCTAAACCCTAAATCCTAAACCCTAAATCTTAAACCCTAAAGCCTAAACCCTAAACCCTAAACCCTAAGAATTGTGACTTTCGAGAGCTGGCCATGTCACGCCTTCAGCAGATCCGTTGCACGAGCCTTTCAAGCTCTGGTGGCCTGCAGGGTCAGTACTACTACTGCTTCTACCGCTCGGTGCAGGAATGCATTCCTGAGGCCGGCTCAAAATCACAAGTTTTTGTTCAGGAATTTAGGGTTTAGGATCTGGGGTCTCGTGCTGATTCCTCCCGGGTGCATTTAAGGAGGCTAGGAATGGAGGGTAGCGTCTGTGGTCAACTGGCTAAGCTCTTGTCAGGCATCTCATGATCTGCAGGCAACATCTGCAAGAATTTCAGCCTTCAACCCGAGACCCTAAAGCCATTGTTCTAAGTCTGCCCGCACTTTCCCAAGGCTGGCAGGGATGTCTGGATGCGACGGGGGGCTGAACACCAGTAGCCATTCACCGGCGAAACGACGCCTGCACAACACGAGTACTGACAACGATAACTGGAAATTGAACTGAGGTGTGGACCCTGTCTATGGTACAAGCTACACGACTTAAGCTTAGGGTTCCTTTATCATGTCCTATAAGGACTACACACGTTGCCAAGGGCCCAACAAGGGAACATGATTTAGATCCACCCCCTCGGGCCCCTCCCCCAACAAAACATAACAACAACTTCTTTCGTCATGTCAAGAGAAACTGACTCCTCGCATTGAAGATGATAGTGGCCGCATGGCTTGGCCCCGACCCACACCCCTTACTGTGAATCATTCTTGTCAGTCATAATCTGATTCATAGAAGCATTTGCGCAATGTCATGGTTTCTTCGCAATCTTGTTCTTAGTTGTTCATGAATTGGGTGCGTCCTAAACCCTAAACCCTAAACCCTACACCCTTTTTTCTCAACTGTTGAGGCGATGCTGCGGAAGCTGAAGGCCAAGAGCCCCAAGATTGACGGCGTAGCAAATCAAAGTGTTGCATGCACTCCCGTCGATGCCTGACCGAGTCATGTTCTCAACACCAAGAGGACCCCAGGTTAGGGTTGAGGGCTTAGGGCTCAGGGTTTAGGGTTTAGGACCCAAGGTTCGGGTTCAGGGTTTAGGGCTCAGGGTTTGGGATTTAGGTGGGGTGATGCTAAGCTGGGTGGTTCTGCGCCAGAGTGGCGAAGACGTCAGGGTTTGGCGCGTCCCGCGCACACCGTTGCTCGAAGTGTTTCTACCTGAACATGAATGTTTAAACATGGAGGCACCCAGGTGCCTCCTAGCTTGCCATTCGACCAAAGTCCAGCATGGCATTTTATAGATGGCATGTGGTCGTGAGTGCTTCAAGTTGCTACTCACGATACAAGGCAACCCATCATCCGGCATTATCCGGGCGTCAAAAAAAGCGGATCTGTTTCTTGTGCCGGGACTGGCTTGTACCCCCTAAACCCTAAACCCTAAACCCTAAACCCTAAACCCTAAACCCTAAACCCTAAACCCTACCCTAAACTCAAAGCATCCTTAAAGCCGAAGCCGAGGCCTACTGTGCAACCCCGAGCCCAGCTTTTCTCTATGAGGAGATTGTGTTCTGTGAGCTTGCTATGCTCGCGATCGGCTACTCAGTAGTACATTCGTCATAACGAGAATGGCAACGGCTTATGAATCCTTACTGCCAGGGACTCTTAGCCCCATGCTTAGTCGTGCAGCAACATGCCCCCTAGGGCCAAACTAAACCCTGAACCCTGAACCCTAAACCCTAAACCCTAACCCCTGGCACTCGTTGGGCTCAAACAAGCGGCCCCCACGGCGTGCGCACGCACGCTCCTAGGGGCCATGAGTCTCCAGGCTGCAGTTCAACGTTTTGAGATTCGGGCGGGTTTAGGGTTTAGGGTTTAGGGTTTTGGGTTTAGGGTTTAGGGTGTAGGGTTTCGGGTTCAGGGTTCACTGTTGCGCATCTGTGTGGCGCGTTGGTTGGTAGATGGTTCTGGCCCGGGAAATCGGAGATATTTGGAGCGCCTGGGAGTGCTTCAGACTCATACCCAACGTATGTGAAGCCTTGGGAATCTGGCTCTACATTGTTGAGTGTCGCAGAGCAAATCCATGCAGCTAAGAAGTTTGTGGGCAAGCTGTGCGAACCAGGTGGCAGTTTGTTTTGGGGTTCAGGACTTCAGGAAGGTGCTCTCCTGCAGTGTGAGCCTTGGACACTGTTCAACATCCCCAAGCATGAAACCAGCTCAGATGAAGTAGGTTCAGCAGATAGACGCAACTTGCCGCCCGAAGCCTAAACCCTACAGCAGGCTCGTAGCGCCCCTGCCCGTTTCGGGGTACGGCCTCAATTTGCTGCTTTTCCGATCTACCTACCCCTGGTTGCGAGCTCTTCATTCAGATTCATGCATTCCATCGTTGAGCTGCACACAAAAGCAAAAGATGCAATTCAAGCTAGGTGCCGTGCTCAAGACGCACTTGGGCCATGATGGCCTCCGAACACACGTCGACGAGCTTGCGCCTTAGACGGTCGAACTCTGCCGCCGGCAACGCTCTGCATGACACATGGCCTCCCAACACCCCAAAAGCCCCTAAACCCCCCCAAACCCAGAAAGCCCGGACCTCCCACAAAAAGCCCGAATTAAACCCCCTGACGCTCCCCTAAAACCCCCCTAAACCTGGCATCCCTCCAAATCCACGAATCCGAGCTCTGGCGCTTGGGAAGCTTGCGGCTCCGCCCAGGCCGACCTCCTTCATAGGAGCTGTGAGCCTTGGCTTGAGCTGCCGTTTCTGGGTCCGGGGAGGGTCTGGGATACTACTCCCCTAAAACCAGAGAAAGGGAGAAATAAAGAAATAGAGAAAGGGAAAAAGAGAGAAAGGGAGAACGAGAGAAAGGGAGAAAGAGAGAAAGGGAGAAAGGGAGAGAGACCGTAAACCCTAAATCCCGAACCCTCAACCCTCTCCAAGCACCTCTGGGCTGGAGCCGCTCAAATTTTTCCCATCCTCATCAAAGGAACCCGGGTACCCCTATTTAGGAAACCTCCCAGGGGAGTTCAGGACCCCCAAAGGCTCTTAAGCTCTAATGCTTCAACCCATCCATGCTGAACCAAGTCTCCAGCTATCGCAGGGTCTAGGGTTTTGAGGTTTAGGGGTACATGCCCACCCCAATCGACAGCTGTACAGCTGCAGTAGCATGCCAACCTGGAACACACTAAGTTGCAGATATCTAGATGCTTCATATTGCCGGTGCAAACGCCTGAAGACCTATAGCCTGATCCCCAAGTCGTTGACATCGTGGCAAGCAAGGGGTATTGGTGCCGGCATTGGCGCTGCTGCTGGCGGCACCCGCGCTGCAATTCCATGAGTTCAGTTTGTTGGGCAAGCATTCGGAGATGAAAGGTTTGGACATAAACAGCATGCGTCGGTTACGCACGCTCCAAGCAGTGGCACCTCGATTATAATGCAGGTCTCCTGTGCATAGGTCCAAGGCGCGAATGATGCAGTATGCCACTGATAGCGAAGCTCTTGCGAAGTGTTAGTTTTCGCTGAACATGGTTCGTGGAACCTCTCAGAAGTATCGTTGATGGTTGTTGTCGGATCATGCAGCGCACCATGCAGTGAACGCTGCGAATACATGTGTAAGCGCTTGGTACTCGCATGTTCAGAGACTAGGACCCGGAGTAGGCCCTTATTCCCTGTTTTTAGGAGTGAGGTTTCCTAAACCCTAAACCCTAAACCCTTACAAGCCTCTTAAAACCAGAATGGGCGCCTTTTTGATTCCCTGGTCACTCTCGGGTCTAGGAGAACTTTTTTGCAAAACAGGGGGTGGAGCTTTGTAGCTGCTCTGAGATAGACTGTTTAGGGTTTGGAGGGTCTGCAAGGTCTGGGCGTCTTCATGCTCTGCAACGCCAAGTGCCCGGGCGGTATCAAGGGCGCGGGCATTCTAGGCAGGGTGGCGCCAACTCGCCTTAGCAGCAACGGCCTCAAGTACCCCTAAACCCTTACCCCTATAAAGCCTAAACTGGCCGAAACCTTAAAGCCAACACCCTACCCTGTCCAGGTGGCACGCTGAGCGCCTTAAACCCCTTGACGCTTCTGTCGAAGAAGGTGCAGCTTTCGTGCAGTTGCACAGGGTTCCTTACGATCCGAGATTGTGGATGTGAGTGCAACAAGTCGGGATACTCCCTAAACCCTGAAGCCCTAAACCCTGCCAACCATGTGGCAGGACGAAGAGGAGGAGAAAGAGGCACAGGAAGATCCTGATCCACAGAAAAAGATGTTTAAGCAAGTAGACTACATAGAGCCTTGGCTGCTGAGGTGTTCTTGGTTTAGGGTTCAGGGTTTGGGGTTTGGGGTTTAGGGTTTAGAGAGGGCTTAGGGTTTACGGTTTAGGGGGTTCTAGAGGGTTCAGGCTTAAGCAACACCCCACGGTGCCATGGCTCCACTACCGGTCCCTCGTGGTGGCTGACGCTGGTACCCCTAACCCTGGATCCTGAATCCGAGGCTCGAAATCCCTAAACCCTAAACCCTAACTGCCCTGCAGCCCCGACAATGTCACCCGGTTTCAGCCCTCAGCCCTGAACCCTACAGTTCCCCGGCTCCCTACTCATCTCCAGACCCTAAACCGCATAAATCCCCAATCCCCCTATGCCGGCCCCCAAAAACCCTCCCTAAACCCCCCTTAACCTTATCACCCAAACCCCAGAAGCCCTATCTAAACCCGAAACCCCTAGACCCTAAACCCTAAACCCTAACCCTAAATCCTAAGCGAAAAACCACCCTACACACTAAACCCTAAGCCTATACAACACCCTAAACCCGAAACGACACTAAGGAGAAGGAGATTTGCAACATGAACTGCAAAATCGCCGCGCTGCTTCTCGTCCGGGTTTTCAGGAAGGGCTACTATAGCGTTTAGGGTTTAGGTTTTTCAGGGTTTAGGGTTTAGGGTTTAGGGTTTATCGGGTTCAGAGTTTTAAAGAGCTATGGGGTTTAGGGTCTAGGGTTTGGGGCTGTAATCCTTGCAATCCTTGGACCTCATGCCCGCAAAGCCCTCCTGAAGACCCTAAGTCCAAACAAACCCACCCCCGCAGTGTGAACCTGCAAAGGCTGAAGGCACCCCCCCCCCCAAGATCCCCACACCTAAGCCCTAAAGCGCTAAATCCCTAAAACTTTCAAAGCCCTATAAGCCCTGTAAACCCTAGATACCGTTCAAACCCTCCAAATCCTGCAAACCCAGTAAACCTTTAAACCCGCCCATAAACCCCATCAACCCTAATAACCCCAAAACCCCTAAATCCTATAGATCCTGTAAACCCTATACACCCTAGAAGCCCTATAAACCCTATAAACCCTATAAACCCCATAAACCCTACAACCGAAAAAAAAACCCTACAAACCATATAAACCCCAAACCTAAACCTTTAAGTCGTGGTTGGGTGGCTTCAGCTTCCCGAAAAAAGGGTACCCGAAAAACCCCTATGAGCCCTAAAAACCCCAAAAGCCCTAAAACTCCCATAAAACCTATAATCACCTACACACCCTAGACCCCCCTAAAAACCCTTAAAAGCCCTATAAACCCCTACCCCTAAACCCGAAACCCTGAACCCTAAACCCTAAACCCTATGCCCTATGAGCCCAGCAAGCTGCACTTGAGGATGGGTGCCGCAGCCGGCGCTGCGGCTGGCGGCGCCATCGCCAAGTACAAGACGGCCGGGCTTTGGGGGGATTTGCTTTTTTGGGTTTAGGGTATAGTTTTTTTTTTTTTTTTTTTTTGGGGGGGGGGGGGGGGGCTTGATCGGCGTTTAGCGATTTAGGGTTTAGGGCTTAGGGTTCAGGGTTTATAGGGTTGAGGTTTTAGGGTAGTTTAGGTTTTAGGGCTTGGGGTTCAGGGTTTTGGGTTTAGGGTTAGTAGGGTCCCATGTGGGGTACTTTTTGTAAACGTGCCGTAGTATCTATACGATTTACTAGGACCCAGAGCAGGCCCTTGTTCTTTTTTTCGGTTCAGCCTCCCTTATAAACCCCTATAACCCAAAAGGGGCACCCTTTTTGTTCCTAGCTTAGTCTTGGGTCTAGTTTAGGGGGTGAGATGTGTGTGTCCCCACTGTGCCGGATTTTGCGGAGGGTGTCGGGGCATCACGGCTTTGCAGTTCCACATAAGTTGGAAGAGCGTGGGAGCAACCACATAAGTCGCAAGAGCACGAGAGAAGGATGCAGCTGTTGACTTCAAGCATGTAGCGCCATGACTTGTCTTTTGCTAGGATTGTTGAAGTCTTTTTTTTTTTGTGTTGCGGCCGCTGGCCGAAGCGCTGACTGCAACGAGTCGCTGCTCAGAAGCCCTTCTGAAAAGCCTCACCCTCCAGCCCTCAGTGTTCGAATCAACTCTACCTCAACCCCAACCCTTGCTTGGAGTTAACAGGGTGTAATGGGCTTTACCGGCATTTACGGGGTTCTTGGACTTGTGAGGTTTCTGGCCTTCAGGGAATCGACCCCCCCCCCCCCCCCTCCTCCTCCCTCCCTCTCCCACTCCACCCCAGGGCGGTGGCAAGATGGGTGGGCAGCTGGGATGGAAGTGGGCTTTCAAGGGTTTAGGGGTTTAGGGTTGGACGTTGTCTAGTGACGTTTTCTAGTGTGCACCCCCTAAACCCTACACCCTGATGAGGCACGGGGGTGCCCAGGGGCTTCCCACGAGTGAGTTCGTGGGTAGTGCAGGGCCCAAAAGCGCATCCTCCTGGTTGTTGGCGCTTGCGGTCTTGGAAGGTGGACTTTTTGGCCCAACGTGAGGGCGGATCTGCATTAGTGATGCAGAAAAGAAGCCTGGTAGGGTTCAGAGAAGCACTAGACCCTAAAGCCTAAAGGATTGGTGCCCTTGGGTATGACAGCAGATTCCGGTTCGGGCGGAACAAGGGAGGACGAAGGCACGCTGCGTTTCCTAGAACAGGGATGCTGCGTTTCTGTTGCTTTGACAGGCTTGTTGGTGGGCTGTCCTTACGGGTTCCTACCACCCCAAACTCTCCACTAGGAGCCAGGAAGTCTACTTGCATCGAGCTACCATGGTAATTAGGGATTTATAGTGAATCATATGATTGCCTGATCATGGTGACAGAAAACACCTTCACAATAGCCCAGAGTCCGAACTCATCCACTTCCCCGTTTTCCCATGCCAGTTGGCCCTTTGACCAATTTCCTAGGAGTCCCTGCTTGGGTTTGGGGCTCAGGGCTTAGAGTTTTGGGGTTTAGGGTTTAGTGTTTAGGGTTTAGGGTTTAGGGTTTAGGGGCTTAACTGAGATAGTTTTTTCCCGGCTACGGTCATGCCGGGGGATTTTGCCCTCCTCCGAGACCGCCCAGGCCCCTGGACGAATCGAACATCGTCCCGTTCTTCGTGCTGTCCAAGCAGCACCTGGCACTGCGTTATGAGAACTTGTGCTTTAAGAACCCTAAACCCTAGACCCTAAACCCTGAACCCTAAACCCTAAACCCTGTGCATGATGACATGCATGCAGCATGCACACCACACAGGCAGATGTCGTTCCAATTTAGTCGCATGTGCTCTTTCACTACCCGTTTGTTTGTGGATACGTGATGCTTTGTCGAGCAGCTGGCATCTGACACCCAATATCTTAACGGCCTAGCTAAGTAGTAAATCCGAACCAGCTCAAAGACGCTGCAGCTCCAACAACCCTAAACCCCAAACGCTAAGCCCTAAACCCTACCAATCAGTTGCTCCAGTGAACGCCTGGGCGCATTGAGCCCAACCCCCTCACCAAAAACCCAACTCCCAGGGCCTGGGTCGTTCAACAGGTTTAGGGGTTTAGAGGCTTTGTGTTTTGGGTTTTAGGGTTCAGGGGTTTAGGGATTAGGGGTTTAGGGATTAGGGGTTTAGGGTTAAGGGTTTAGCGGTTGAGGGGTTTCCAGGGTTTAAGATGCAGCCGCGGCAATTGCTAGTGAGACGACCCCGGCTCGCAAGACTTTAAACGAGGCTGGAAGAGATGCGCAGCATCTTGGCTGAATTGGGGTTTACGGGTTCAGGGTTTGAAGATGGCGCCAGCTTCACGCGCCAGCCTCGCATTTGGCAAGGCAGAGGGCTGTCCGCTTTGCTTGGTCCCTTTCAGCACTTGAAGCTCCATGTCATCCAAGTTTTTGTCCGAGAGCCCTAAACCCTAAACCCTAAACCCTGAACCCCAAACCCTAAACCCTCAACCCTCAACCCTAAACCCTAAACCGCCAGGTGAGGTGAAGGATGCTGTTGGTGCTGTGAGATCACTCACGGTGCTGCAGGACAGGCAGTCTTTTGGGAATTCGGATCTCCCTTTGAGCCATCGCCGGTACTGATGGTTGGGGGGGGGGGGGGGGTTGTGCGCAGAGCGCACCAACAACCTAAACATTCCTAAGCCCTAAACCTTAAACTCTAAACCCTAAACCATCTTAAACCATCCTAAACAGTCCTAAACTTTAAACCCTAAACTCTAAACCCTAAACCCTAAACCCTAAACCCTAAACCATCCTAAACCCTACACCCTAAACCCTACTGGGTTCAGGGTTTCTGTTGCCCTGCGCCTGAGTGAGGACGACCGGCCAGCCGAGGGCGCCCCAGCACGGCGGCACGACTTCATATGAAGCCGTTCCAGGCAGAAGGGGTTTAGGGTTTAGGGTTTAGTTTTCAGGGTTTGGAGCTTTGGGTTTCCTAAACCCTTGGGGTTTATGCCCTCAACCCTAAACCCCAGTGGGTTTCCGGAAGTAGGGTGGGGTTTCAGGTTTTTCGGGCGGGCGAAGCAGCCTGGTGCTTAAGCAGCTTGCAGCATCGCTGAGCCGAAGCAGCTTTGCTAGGGTGTAGGGTCTGAGGGTTTAGGGTTTGGGAATTAGGGTTTAGGGTTTAGGGTTTAGGGTTTTAGGGTTTTAGGGTTTAGGGTTTAGGGTTTAGGGTTTAGGGTTAGGGTTTAGCAATCGGCAGGCCCGTTTCATCGGCCTTCGCTGGCCACACCGCTGGCTGAGCGCGTGACGCGCGCTTCAAGTTTGGGGGTGGAGAGCGTTTCGGGCCCAGCAAGTGCCTCCCCCTTTGCCCTATAGTGTAGTTTAGATATATTTTCCGCCCTGCCCCCACTCACCCTCCCCCCCCCATCCCGGGACGGCCACAACGTCGAACAACGGTGAGGACCTTCTGGGGTCAACTCTCGATGTTGCACCTGGGCCCTCTCTCGCAAAATGTTGGAGAGGGGGCCGACAAGTTTCAGCGAAGCAGTGCGCACACCCCACGAAGGCCTAGGGTTTAGGGTTTGCAAATTTTGGATACACAGGAGCTCAAACATCTGTACGCTCAGTGGCCGTAGTATACGTACAAGCATGAAGACTACTCGGGTCTGTGCACATGGAGATGCAAGTGAGCCAACGACGGCTCATCGCTGAGGTGCGGCCGCTAGCTCAAAGCAGCAAAGTGGACAACAATCCCCCCAAATCCCAAGAACCTGTCGGTGAGGGCTTTGGCGTAGTGATCGTGGGATGTATCGACTATAGGGCTTTGTATTCAGATTCTTGCAGCAGGCCGTTCAGCAATAAGCACTCATTGGGGAACCCTAAACCCTGCACCCTAAACCCTAAACCCTATCCCTGAACCCTAAACCCTAAACCCTATGATGACCAGAGCTCCATGGTCTCCTGCTCGTGAGCAAGCTGGCGGCCGAAAGTGAGAGTAGGGCATTGGCCAAGTTCGTGTCCCGGACCTGTAGTTTAGGGTTTAGGGATTAGGGTTTAGGGTTTAGGGTTTAGGGTTTAGGGTTTAGGGTTTTAGGGTTGAGGGTTTTAGGGTTTAGGGTTTAGGGTTTCAATCAGGGAAGTGAACCGTCAGAAGATTGCACCTATACTTCTGACGGTAGCTTAATATGGAGATCTTCGAAATTAGGTGTCCCTTGTGTTGGGGTCCCTATTGTAGGGGAATCCTACCATCTTTGGGGGTCTATATTAGGGTCCCTTATTTGTCGTAAACCCCCATATTCAAAAAACAGACGCAGTTGAACATGTGACGTCGGGATCTCATGCAGTCTCCCCGAGGCCCGAGGCGTAGCTTGGGGCGCGGTCCTAGCCTCTCTGGGGGCATCAGCGCCCGACGTGCCGAGAAGCAAAATGCCTGCTGAAATCTGAGGCGTTCCTTGAGGCCCTAGACCCTAGCCCGAAAGCCCATGCGAACCCTAGCTCCTAGCTTATAAGGCATGCCGAACCCTGGCAACTTGCATAAGGGACCCCGAATGGAGACCCCCAAAAAGTAAGATTGCATTACGGTACTGACCCCAATAAGGTTCCTTTTCGGAACACACTCATATGAGAGATATGAGAACCTCATCTTGCGGGACGATGCTGGGAGGATACCTTCTTGGGTGCTGGCATCCAGTGGGCTCAGCTGCGTGAAGGTCGAAGTAAATTTTCTTAGACGGGCCTTGTTTAGGGTCTAGGGTTTAGGGTTTAGGGTTAAGGATATGTTCTATTTTCCCTGATCTGGGTCCAAGATGATGCTTCGTGGGAATATTGGCAGGGCTACGTTACAAGCTCAGAGAGCTTGAGGCCTGTAAGGCTTCCTGAACCTTCTTGTACCTCCCTGAACACCCCCTTATACCCCCATATACCCCCCTATACCCCCCTCATACCAGCCGCTTCAAGAAGCTGTGTACGAGCCGGAGAGCCGACGTGCAAAGAACCCCTAAGCCCTTAGCCCGAAAACCCTAAAATCTAAACCCGAAGCCCCAGCGCCAGCCGTGTTTTGACTCGCAGCTTAGTGCCTTGCAGGGGCAAGGCTCAGTGGCCGTCGCAAGGCCGAGCAACAGGAAGAGCTCATGTGTAGATGCGAGCAGGGTTCAGGGTTTAGGGTGTAGATGCTAGCAGGGGCTTGGTCAACTAAGGTTTAGGGTTTACATTATGTTTTTGGTTCATGCAGGGGATCTACTCTCCAAATTGAGGGTGCAGCTGTATGGGTGATTGTTGACAAACTCTCACACCTGTCACAAATCGGAAGTTCCAAAGCCTCCCCCCCAATCCAAACCCATGTAAGCCAAAAGCCCCTTCAGGGGAAGAGTTGTTAACGGAATTTTGTGTAAAGCAAGTGCAGACGAACCCTAAAATCTGTGCCTGCTCCTCCTATGATTGACAGTATCCCAAGATGTTAGTTGCCCTTAAGACCCTTACATATGATTCTTGCAGTCAACCTCGTCCTGGGTATTGAGGCCGTGGTAGCTGCAGATGGTGGTTTGCGGGTCCCACCCAAGAAGTGTTGAGGGTTCAGGGTGTAGGGTTTAGGGTTTAGGGTGCAGAGCATCGGCCAGGTGTCAGTATGGCAGAGGAGGCACGTGTGATTGTGCTTGGATGGCTTTTGTTTCCATATCGCCCGGCAAGGTAGCATGAACTGAAAGCTAAAAGTTGGAATCTCGCGCTCGGCGGTGTTGAACAGCAAGTGCTCCTTTGCCCCTACCCTTAACCCCTAAACCCCTAAACCCCCTCTTCCCCTCAACCCCTCAACCCCCCCTCAACCCCTCAACCCCTCAACCCCTCAACCCCTCAACCCCTAAGCCCTAAACCCCTAAACCCCTAAACCCTAAACCCTAAACCCTAAACCCTGCGGTTTGGTGGCCAGGATGAGGCTGCCCTGAAGCCAAACCGCGCAAACGCCGAGGACGAGTTTCTTCGTCCGGACCCCGACACTTCCTTTCAGGTTGCTGGAGTTTGCGGTAGGGTTAGGGTTTAGGGTTTTTGGGTTTAGGGTTTAGGGTGAAGCTCTCGGGCCTTCTTGCAGTCAGTCGGATGTTTCCATCTTCTTGAGGCAGTTGGATGATTCCGTTCAGGGACTGGCAATCCACTTAGACACACGAGCCCGAAATCTCTACGTACCAGAAGAGGCCCACGGCTGATCGTTTCGCCACATTCGCGACCCTACATCCTATGGTAGCACCTTAGAGGTAGAAGCCCCCGTCCCTCCCTCAGCTTCTCTGCTGTGTACTGAGGTCATCCTGGTACTGGTGCCTTCTACAGGAATCCCCTTCGCGAGAAGGACCGGTACCGGGGTAGCAGGAATATGGTCAATTCCTTGTAAAAAACCCCTTCTAAGGGTCCGATTAAAGTATATGTTCCTATGCGGGCACCCCTAGAATGGGACCCTACTTTAGGGGAAACTTTTATGTTGTGCTGGCTTCCGGGTTCCCATGATCTTTAGGGTTCAGGGCTTAAGGTTTACAATGACCCTTAAACTCGTAGCCCTAACCCCTGACCCCTGACCCCTGAACCCCTAACGCCTTACGCCTAACCCCTAAGCGCCCCCCCCCCCCCCCCCCCCCCCCCCCCCCCCAAAAAAAAAGCACAAACAAACAAACAAACAAGTATTATATATATATATATAGATCTCCATTTATCTGTTCATTTATTTGCATTTATTCAACTAAAAGTATAGTCTGATCTTCCCAATCGACTCCCGTCAGAGGCTGACAAACCGATCCTGATGTCTCTGGGCGAGTGCTCTCCAGGGTCTGCAGAGTCTCGGGTTTAGGGTTTAGGGTTTAGGGTTTAGGGTTTAGGGTTTAGGGTTTAGGGTTTAGGGTTTAGGGTTAGGGTTTAGGGTTTAGGGCTTAGGGCTTAGGGTTTAGGGCTTAGGGTTCAGCATCTCAAGTTCAAGGATTCCCCAGTCAGGCTCACTACTCCGGTAGCGAGGACGTGCCCACCCACCCACCTCTTGGATCGCAAAACCCTAAACCCTAAACTCGCCATGGCCTACGAACTGTTGGCAATTTTTTTGTTTTGTTCTGAGTTTTTGGCAGCTTTTGGATGACGAGTTTAGGGTTCAGGGTCCAACCCTATTGTGTTGAAGCCTCGGCGAATGCTGCGTGGCTCCGGCCTTCGTCGCATTCGCATAGTTTGACCTGGCATATTTGCTGCTGATACGTTCAAAGTGCTACAGAAGCGCTGGTCAACCCTGTGGCTGCACCTTCGAGCCTACCTTCCAGGTACGAGTTCAACTGTTTGGACGATGCCTTGAACTCTTGGCACTGCTTCTGCCTCAGTTCCGCAAGCTAGACTACTATTTGCTGAACAACCCTTTACAAAATTAAGAATAAATCCTAGATATTTCCCGTAGAAGGAAGAACACTGTTCCTTTTTGGCCGGGACTCTCAAGCAAATAGTTGTAGACGTAAGAATGGTTGTAGAGTTTCCCAAGAGTTTCCTTTGACGACTACACTCCAAGTGTTGGGTGCAAGGTTGCCAGTGTGAGCTTAAGGGTTTGACGTAAACGTCATTCGCCACTCGATCCCTATAGAGACCCTTAACAAAACCCTCAACGCTTTAGGGGGTACGGGTTTAGGGTTTTAGGGTTGAGGGCCCTAGTTAAGCCTAGACCTGCATGGGTAGTTGCATGGTCTTAAGCCTTTTCACAGGGTTTTAGGAGCTATCGAACCCAGAAATCCTTGAACCCTCCCAGAGGTCTTGCGCCCCCAAAGCCGGCCCAGGTGTGAGCATGCCAGAATCCATGTTCCGGAAGACTGTGCCCGCGCCTTGTGCAGCCTACCATAGTTCAGCAGAATCAGATGTGGGGCTCCTAAGCCTCCCAAGAAACCCCTGGAACACCCTAAGCTGTAGGGAATGCAGGTGGCCCCTGTTGGGGGATCTCCGAATCGTCAAGTTGAAAGCCGGCCACGAGTTGCAGCTCATGAGTCTTCGAGTTGTATACCTGTGGGTGTAGGGTTTAGGGTTTAGGGTTCAGGGTTCAGGGTTCAGGGTTCAGGGTTCAGGGTTTAGGGTTTAGGGTTCAGGGTTTATGGGTGCCAGTTCGGTTCTGGCAATGCTCAGGCTCTCCCCCAAACATCAGCCTTTGGTCGAGGCGAAAGTCATTCCAAGTCCGAAGCCCTCACCCTTTATCAACGCTAAACCCCAAACCCCAAACTTGCAGGGAGACCTAAACCCTAAACCCTAAACCCTAAATCCTAAACCCTAAACCCTAAACCCTAAACCCTAAACCCCTTAGGAGAACAGAAAACAAGATCCCTCCCCTCCTCCTGAGGCTCGGGAAGGCCGCACAAGATCCTGCCTCCTCGATGGACGCCAAGCAGAAAGCGGCCTTGCGGCGGCTGGACCGCGTCACTGGCGCGGGGCCCAACCCTAAACTTTAAACCCTCAACCCTCAACCCTCAACCCTCAACCCTCAACCCTCAACCCTAAACCCTAAACCCTAAACCCTAGCCCTAAACCCTAAACCCTAAAACTCAAAAACCCGAAACCGCTTCGGGTTCGGGGTTTTCGGGACTTACAGGGCTTATTGTGCGGTTCGGACTTCTGGGCCGGTTGTGGGTCGCTACTATTTGTAGAACCCTATAAGGGTTCCTACTCCGTGGATGTAGCACTTCGAGCTTCAGGGGGGACGGTTCATGGGTCCCTCAGGCTCTTGGATACGACAAAGGCCTGAACTCCTATTTGGGCGCGCCTGCTTCTCGAAATCCTGAGATCGGCAGCCACTCCGCAGGCATCATACCGATCAAGATCACCCAAGCTCAGCTCCTAAATCCTAGGCCACGACATCCGACAAGCTGCAAAGTCTTCACATAAAAACTCCCAAACTCACAATGTAAACTCCAAAGCCTTTCGCTCCTAACCCCTATACCACAGGCCCTACATCCTAAAGACGTGGGGCGGCAAGCGCGGGCCTGTGAGGTTCGTATGAGTACGTCGTCACAGTGCGAAAGTCGCAGTTTGCAGCAGCCCCGGCACTCTCATCCCGAATTCCTCGGTAAGGGGGCCTCGGGTTGCGGGTTGCGGGGATTAGGGGAGGTTTAGGGATCAGGGTTTCTAGATGGGTGCCGGCTCGAACGGCGCTCTAGCAACAACATGTTGGACTGCAGAGCTAGCCCGACCCAAGCCCTAACCTGCCCTAACCTGTAACTCTAAGCTCAAGGTACTAAAGGGACCCCTAAGGGCCCCCCTTTAAGGGTCACATAGTGAGCCGCTCGGTGCCTGGTTGAATTCCAGTCTCCGAAGTTATCCGACATGCATAGTATGTTTATCTGAAAGTGGCTCCTTCCTTGGGCTCAAGAGGATCAACCCTAAACCCTAAACACTTTACAGTATTGGGTTCAAGAGGATCATATTGCGGAGAATTCTTTCACTGAATCACACGCGTTTTATAGGGCCAGCCCTGCTTAACAGTCACCCAGACTTTGGGCCAGAGTGGCATCGCATCGGGTTTGGGGTTTGGGGTTTGGGGTTCAGGGTTTAGGGTTTATGGGGCTGTTGATCCACATTTGCCACCCTTAGCCTTCCAAACCGAAACTCTCAACGAAGAAGGCACTGCGGATTGCGAACGCAATATTGTTGTGCGTTGGGATTGAAAGCTCAGGGTTACAGTCGCTAAGCCCTAAAGCCCTAACCCTTAACCCTAAACCCTGCACCAGAAGAATCAAAGGTTCCTCCGCGGGGCCATCGCCGCCACGCCGGGCCAGTTCACCCCCAGGACCCGCGTATGGATTTAGGGTTTCGGGTTTATGGTTTAGGTCTAGGGTCTAGGGTTTAGGGTTTAGGGTTTAGGGTTTGGGGTTTAGGGTTTAGGGTTTAGGGTTGCGGTTTTCGGGTTGAGGGTTTGAGACGAGATAGTATTTGTAGAAAACTAAGGGGGCATTATACATATGCAAGGAAGTTACTTCAAGTTGGAGTAGGGCTCATTCTTCTGCTTTTGGTGTTATGTCCTTTTTGACCTTTACAGATGGATCTATGTCAGCGGACCCTGATCTAGTCTAGAACCGCCCCCCACATGTCGACTTACCTTCAACTGATGGGGAGGCCATCCAATAAACCTGTCTTGCGAATTCTCTTTGCAAAAATGCCCGGCAGCACCCTTCTTCCGACCCAAAATCAGCTTAGGTCGCAGTGCTCAAGGATGTGGCTGAAAGGATGATATGTTGCCATAGGGACGGCTTTCGTGCTTCATTAACCCTAAACCCGAAACTCGAAACCATAAACCTTCAACCCTCAACCCTAAACCCAAAACCCTTAAACCCAAACCCACACCGAAGGCTGCAAACCAAGGTCTTTGTGTCACAGAAGAGTCGCACACTCCCTCCCGCCTTCCCCCCACTTCCTTCCAAGTCAGCGTTTGAGGCCCTTCACAAGGGGTTTAGGATTTAGGGTTTAGGGTTTAGGGTTTGGGGTTTAGGGTTTAGGGTCTACGCCTTTTGAAGCTTCATGAAGCCCACCCGGAGAACAGGCCGTTCAGCTTGAGAAGTTGGTGCTGGACGTGGTGCCAGAGATGGAAGGATACAGGCCTCCGGGGATTCTCCAGGTGGAGGGTTTTGACGGATTTGGGCTTAGGGTTTAGGGGTTTACGGTTTTAGGGGTTTAGGGGTTTAGTTAGGGTTTAGGGTTTGGGGGGGTGAGGGTTCTTATCTGCGTTTCAAACTCAACCTGCGCTCTGTCTTCGAAGCTCCCCAAACCGGAAACTGTCAACTGTCAACCTTAGGTACCAAAAGCTAGGGGCTTGGGTCTCCCCCAAGAGTGCTGAGGGGTGGGTTGGGCAGCTACGGTCGAGATTCTGGGTTGCAGTTTGGGACTAGTTTGCGTTCGCTACCTCTCCAAATGTTCGCATCACCTGCATAACTTAACCCAATTCCGCAGAGCCACATCAATGTGATCCTGCCGCGAAGGTCTCCGGAAAAAATGTTCAGCATGGGAGACCGAAGTAAATAATCAGACTCAACTAACTTTAGGCCAGATTATCCTTCTTTGTCACCGACGGTTGCTGGCCAGGCTGCGAGTGGAGTACGTTGGAGATGGTCTGGCCTTGGGCCCACCTTTCCTCACCGCACCCCCCTCTAAGTAGCCCATATCATAGACACAACAAAAACCCACAACACCCAGCAGAAACTCAACCACCCGACCCCCCGCCCCCCGTAGGCCATATCATAGACCCAACCCAGACCTTCAATGTATAAACCCACCATCGACCCATCAGAAGCTCAACCACCCACAGAGTTTAGCCTTTAGACCAGCTGGCGTTCTTCGCTCATTCCTTGCAGTGCTGGATCAGGCTAATCATCCGCACTCCTATATCCTACACCGGCCTCAAACCCACTGCAAACCCCAGGTGCCTCCTGAATCCGCAGATCCACTGAGGTTGCTGCATGGAACCGAGCCAACCCATGCTTTGCTGTGGCAACCTCAGCCACTGTTGTGGATCAGCTTGGGGTGGTGAGATGTCAGGGTTAAGGATGAGAGCCACGTCCCCTGCTACAAGGTGCGTCCGGGAGACTACATTGTCAAGGTGGATGTCTGCCTGGCATGTTTGTTTGGGGCCGGTGGGCAGCCCATGTGTGCAGTCCCTCCCCCCGGGCCAAACCCAGTAGACTCAGACCTTAAACCCCTGAAACCCTAATCCACAATTAAACCCTGCAACCCTTGAACCCCCAATTCAAAGCCCTGCATCCTACATTACGGCCCGCACCCTGGGGCTGTGAGCCCCAAACCCCAAACCCTGCACCCAACACTTAGACTTCAAAAAATGTAAGTTGCCTTGCGAAGACATGGATGAGTATGAAGCTGTGCTTGTGCAATTTCATATTAATTTAAAGCCTTGGTTGCAACAAACATGAAGAACGAAGACACTTGATCGGTTTTAGTTTCTTCAATTAAGGACGAGCAGCCGCGCATGAGCTAGATGTGTTTTGGCAAATCTGTTCGTGAATATCCTTCTTAGCTCCTTTTGTTGAAATTCGTTCGCTTAATGTCATGGGCCTCACGCGCAAAACCTCGAAATCCCAGCCTCTAAGCCGCCGCCAACACCCCGGCAGGGAAAGCGAGTGCCTCTTCAAGAGGCGATTTACTCCGCCGAGGAGCCTTGGGCGTGTTCTCTTGGGTCCTATCGAGTTTTGGGGGCTTATGACTTTAGGGTTTGGAGGGTTTCTAGGGTTGAGGGTTTTAGGGCCTGGGGTTTTGGGGCTTAGTTGTTTTGGGAGTTGTCCGATTTGAGGGTTTAGTCTTTTGGGGATGGTTTTGGGCTCTAAGGTTTCTTTATTGTGTATTGTCCGCTTTTGTGTGGTCGTTCTAGGGCTTCGGGGCTTCGAAGTTCTTGACTGAAGTGGTCAATGAACAGAGCTTTGGTGCACGGCTGGAGACATCTGCCAGACTCCACAACCAACTTGGGATCAATTAGACAGGGTTTAGGGTTTAGGGTTTAGGGTTTAGGGTTTAGGGTTTAGGGTTTAGGGGTTTAGGGGTTTAGGGGTTTAGGGTTTAGGGTTTAGGGTTTAGGGGCTAGGGGCTAGGGGTTAGGGTCCAGGGTTTAAAGTTTTTGTTGGGGGGGTCTACCTGAAGGCTCTAAATGTAGTTCCCTCTTGGGCTAGTCATAGGGGGATTCTAATGTACGACCCCCAATCAAGGTATTGCATGGGAGCCCGTAGGTACGTTAAGACAAGCTAAACCCTAAACCCTAAACCCTAAACCGTAAACCCTAAACCCTAAACCCTATATTATAAACCCTAAACCCTAAACTAAACCCTAAATCCGAAACCCTAAACCCGAAGCCAAGTGACAGGATGTAGTGAAGCTGACGATGCAGCGGGTGTCGGACCCCTAGCTTCGGCTCGTGGGCCCTTTTTCAGAAGCGGAAACTCTGAGCCCCAAATCTCAAACCCTAAACCTTAAACCCTAAACCCTAAACCCTAGACCCTAAACTTACCGTGTTTGAGTTGGGGTATCGGGTGGTCCTCACGACCTTTGTGATGGCATGAGAATCCTCGGGCAAGCGCCTTCCTGAACACGATTTGACATGTATGGGCTTTTGGGCTGAAAGGGTTTAGGACAGGAGGGGAGTGCATTTCGTCTTGTTGTGTTGCTCTCTCTGTTTAAGTGGGGTGAAGTTTCGGCATGCTGTTATCCAGAAAGCACCACCTGCCGCCTCCTTCGCACTCCGAAAGATGAGGACAAATCGATCGGCTTCGAAAGCAAGCGTGTACACTGCGGATCAGCCGGGCCCCAAGTGTTCCCTTTTTTTGCAGGGTTTAGGGTTTAGGGTTTAGGGTTTAGGGTTTAGGGTTTAGGGTTTAGGGTTTAGGGTTTAGGGTACGGCGCTTCTGTCAGGGCCACGAAGATTTCTGAGATGCTTCATTAGCATCACAAAAAAGGGGGGGGGCTCGTTGTCTTAAGTTTTGCATAGACTTAGAAGCTTGAGAGGTCACCAGTTAGATGGGCGCGATCGCACTTCATATCTAGGACGTGGTTCAAGATTCTCTTACGCATAGACACGTCACGGCGAAAGCTCGTCATGAAGGACCTGCATCAAGCTCTCCAGCTTTCACGGAGCTATCCAAGCTCGAAGTGAGCGCATTGCCAGGAGTCCCGCAGCTCAGCATGTAGAAGACCCCAACTCTCCAAAACTTGACCGGACAACGCTTGCTGTGTCTGACTGGTTCTAGGGCTTAAGTTTCAAGATTTAGGCCTCAGCGCCTTTGGGATTGCAAGCGCAGCTGGGGGTTTAGGGTTCAAGATTTGGGGTTTGGGGTTGAGGGTTTAGGGTTTAGGGCTGCTTCAGACGACTCTCGGCCCTGCCCAGGGAGATGACGCTCCCGGGAGAGACGGGCAACTGAGAAAAACACCACCGGTTCCACCATGATCAATATAGGGGTATAAGGGACAAGGGTTTTAGGTTTTAGGGTTTAGGGTTTAGGGCCAGGGTTTAGGGTTCCGGCTTAGCAGTATTCCCCTTATGGTCCCTTCTTGACAAAACAATGATATCCCCCCCCCCCCAAAAGCCCCATTCTCATTTTTAAGGCCCCTACATGTCACACATTCATGCAATCTGCCTCCTTGTACCCATGGAGCTCTAGCGCATACTCGGACAGTGGTGAGTCACTGTCATCGTTGGTAGGACGGTGCAGCAGCGACATGTAATGCTTCACGGTTAGGAGTCGGGATTTGGGGTTGCTCATCTCACCCACCTAGACCGAAGCTTGCAGACCAAGCATCGAATTGTTTTGTGGTACCCCGAAGGGGCATCGAATAGCTGTCCAGGCCTCGACTGAATGCACTTCGTGTTGAGCTGTTGACTCCCATGGCCTCTGTTGTTTGTGCAGCTTTAGCTTCAGTCCAGGCCGGCCATATGGGCGTGGCATCTAGATTCAAGATGCCAGGCAATATAGGGGTCGGCATAACTACCATTAATCTTCCTTTATGGTCCCTAGACAAGTAAACTATACTACCCCGCCAAAACCCTCTTCCATTCATTTAGGGTTTAGGGTTTAGGGTTTAGGGTTCAGGGTTCAAGGCCCCTATATTGCAAGCCTGGCCCGGTGCGTTGGTGTCGAGAACTCGCACCACAGGCTTTCGGGACTTGGCCCCCATCTTGACAGCACCGCGAGGATGGAGATCAAAAAGGGGTTCGGGGTTTAGGGTTAGCTTAGGGTTTAGGGTTTAGGGCTTAGGTTTAGGGATTGCGCGTAGCCTCCTTCTGCTTGGCTGGGCATCCCCCCTCGCATGAATGCGCAGCATACTGCATGTTCTGACAGGGCCCAAGCAGAGCCATGAATGGGTCCAGTCTGTCCAGGTAACAACAAGCTGCCATGACTCCCCCAGTACCTCTTCAGTTCGCTTGGTTTCTCCTTGCTCTTCTGGTGTATGCAAGCGCCCGGAAGCAGAAGAGGGTTCTGAACTTTATCCGGCGGGGTGGATTTCTTGCTGAGGCTTTTTCGCAGCCTTACATTCTCATCTACGTCTTCCTTGCGTGGGTATGTTTCACTACTGACTGGGTCTACAGCTTCTCTGACTTCATGGACTTTACTTCGTACTTGTTTGAACAAGATCGCCCTCACGCTCCCGGCTTCTGCCAGGCGATGAGGGAGAAGATTTGCCATGCAGAAGCGTGCGCGGGTGGGATCTGTGGGTCTCAGGAGCTCGAGGACTGCATCTTGGTAGCCCAAAAGTACCCTTTTGCCCCTTTTTTTGTGGTTCAAGGTTCCCGTTTAAAGTAGCCAACCCCAAAAAAGGGTACTATTATTATTATGATATGGTTACTGATACTGGGCTACCAAGGCATCCGCCGCTACCCAAAGCCATGCATGCTTTTGAGCATCCCGCATTGGCTCCAGACGCTTGTCTTCCTTTCGCCGCCCTGTGTCTTGAACGCCCCTAGTGGCACCCGTTTGCCCATTTTTATGGTTCAAGGTTCCCTTGTAAAGTATCCAACCCCAAGAAAAGGTACCCTTCCTTTAAAATGGCTACCCTTATGCACTAACAAGAAAAGGTACCCTTCCGTTAATATGGCTACCCTTATGAACGAATAGGGTTTCTGGGCTACCAAGGTGTAATCTTGGCAGTGGTCATCAGCGCTGTGCACACCTGGAGACACGCAAGGTATGGGAGGCCATGGTGCGATCAGGACTTGGAGAGCCTCTTGGAAACCCAAGGGTACCCTTTGCCATTTTTTGGGGGGGAAGGGTTATGGGTTCCCTTAGTAAAGTAACCAACCCAAAAACCGGCGCCCTTATGTAGAATATGGTTACTGGGCTACCAAGGCTTGCATGCACATGCGATAGAGGTGATCCTCCTGCCCGCTGTGTACGGAATCTTCTCCTTGATTTCTGTTGCGGATCAGGTTTCGCTGCTGGAAGGTCGGACAGATACACGGGTTTGGAAGGCCGATGCTCCCTGCGATGCTGAAATGCAGCTGCACGGCAAGCTACAAATCTCTGACACGTGCTGGAGTGAATTCATCGACCGGTCTGTTCGCTGGTGTAACTTGAACTTCATAGTGGCCGACCTGTACGAGGCCCGCGCTCTGTACTGCTTCAGTTGGGCATGCATGGAGTATATTGATCTGCAGCGCACGAAACGGGGCCTTTTGTCAAGCTCCTGTCCGACATGCCACTCCGCGGTTTCGAACATGCTGCTGACGCCGTTGAAGGAGATGACCCTGCTGGGGGTGCAGCTGTTCAACGTGACAAACCTTGCCCGGGCAATCTTCGCGCTGGTTGCGGAGCAGCTGCGATATGCCTGGATCTCTGCCTTCACATGGCTGTCCTACAAGGCCTTGCAGCTCGGAGATGTGGATGCCATGCTCACAGGCTTCAACCTCTGTGTGAGCAGCATCGCCATCTGGAACCTTATCATCTTTGAGCACTACTTAAACAACCTGCTTCAGGGCTTCAGCCCCAAGCTGAAGTTCTGGAGTGCCAAGATCATCGTCTCCTTAGCCTTCATTCAGGGCCTCGCTGTGAACGTGGCGGGGAATTTGCTGCCCTTGGACGACTACTACCAGCAGCACCAGCGTTCGCTGGTCTATGCCGCACTCATCTGCATCGAGATGCTTCCGGTTGCGCTGCTTCAGTATGCGGCCTGGACGCCGTCCAAGATTGAGAGCATCATCCGCAAAGGCTGCCCTGGGAGCGATGCGGACACCTAGGCCCATCGAAGCAGTACCTATTTAACCTATTTCATACCTAGTTGCTACGAGTTGCTTGAAACCCCCCAAAAAATGAAGAATGTTCTTCCTTTTTTAACGGGCTTTCGGGGTTCTTAAGCAAATAGTAGGTTGGGGGCTGCCATTCGGTCAGGGTTCGCCTCCTGTGCCGAATCCGCTCAGGAGTCGAAGAAGCTGGAGTTCTCCATCGCAAGTGGACAGCAGCGAATGCAGATCACCATCGAGCAGGCCACAGACCAGGGCGTTGACTTCTGGCACAGCGCGTCGGTGACGATGCTGAGCAGCGCTTAGGCACTCGAGAGGCTATAGCTTCACAAACGTAGGCTGGAGAATGGTTGCGGAAGAGTATGCGCCCTCTCTGAATTTGTATGGGTACTTCCCAAACAGGGTGACCCCGCTCCAAAAAAAGGGCCATACCTTTTGGGAAACTCCCATGTGGAGCCTGACCTTCAGAATAGGAGTGGGCAGCCGAAGGCCTGCTGAGTTGTCCGTGTGGTTGCTCACGGACATGCTACATGGCCTAGGCCAGAACCTTGACATGGCAGGCTGGCCAAAAGAAGAGAATAGGGTTTAGGGTTTAGGGTTTAGGGTGAGAGCCCCCGGTTGCCGAAACAAAATTGGGGGGATGCTTGAGAGGTTTTTCTTCAGAGTATAGAAACACCAGTTGCCAGCCAGCCACTCTCCTGCCATCACTTTCAGTGCAAACGTCACCGCATCGGCTCTTTCAGGCTTACCTGCCCCTTAAATCCTGTTTCCCTAAACCCTAAACCCTAAACCCTAAACGCTAAACGGCCTTAAACCCAAACCCTCATAGTCAGGTTTACCCCCCGGGTGTAGAAAGCCAAAAGAGTTTAGGGTTTAGGGTTTAGGGTTTAGGGTTTAACCCTAACACTGCACAACCCTAACCCCGAAACAGGGGTAAGACTAGAGAACTCAGCCCTCCAAGCCTGTGTTTTTGCACGTGGGCTTGCCCCTTCTAAGCGGGCTGTGCTGCCATGGTGTTGAGGTCAGCATCTCAGCGCAAGAGATAAGGACCACTAGTATAAGGAGGAACATCCCAATCTGTGGGTCCTCCCCAAATACCCTGACACAACCCCCCTAGAAAATAGATATCAGTCTAGGGCCCCCCAAACACCACCCCCATGTAGGGCTTGGCAGGGTTCCTAAACCCTGAACCCTAAACCCTAAACCCCAAAACCCTAGAGAGACCAGGCTCGAAGCTGCTCTGGCGGAGCAGGACGAAACGCTGCAGGCCTTGGAGCTGGGGAGCTCGGCAGACAGCAGCAGCAGGGCAGGAGAGAGTTCTCTGAATTAGGGGCCCTTTTCGGGGTCCTATTAGGGTTTAGGGTTTAGGGTTTAGGGTTCAAGGATTTCCCAAAATAGGAGTACCCCGTTTATACCCCAAATGGAATAGAAGCCCCTGAAAGGGAGCCCCCCAAAAAGGTGGGTTTGGAAACATGGGGCTTGGCAGGGTTTAGGGTCCTTTTGAATGCAAAGGATGCTGGGTGGCTCATATGATATCACAATAAATGACAAATGACTGGCTTGCCCCCCCCCCCCCCCCCCCCAAGGCTGGGTCAGCGGGTGCAGTCCTTGCTGACGCACATGCCAGATGAAGAGACCCGCGCGAGCCTGAGCCATGTGTTTTCAGTGGCTTCTATGATATCTCTATATTATATATTCTTGGAGGGAACAAGACCTAAACCTTAGCCTCCAACCCCCCTAAACCCTACACCCAAAACCCTAAACCCTAAACCCTGACGTGATTATCTAGGCTCCTGTCTTAGCCAGACGAGATCTGCCTGCTCTGTGAGGTTTTCCCGAGAGCGAGGACTCCGCGGATTCGCGGCAGAGGTTTGAAGTTTGCTTCTGAGTAATTCGGTTCAGTTATATATATATATATGTGTGTATATATACATTAGGTTTAGTTATATATATATATATACATATATATATATATGTATATATCTTTACGGTTTAGGCCTAGTTTAGGGTTTAGGGCTTAGGGCTTATAGGGAAATAGGGAACTAGGTCTAGGTCATAGAACTCTGCAGGGTGCTTACTTCCCTACCCTATCAAAACCCCTACTGTTTAGGGGCCGGACTCGCATGCCCATGCAGGAATGCAGCGATCTTCGAGCCCTGCTGCTCAGTGAGTTGCCGCTGTTTGGGGTTTTGGGTTTAGGGTTTAAGGGTTAAGGGTTTAGGGTTTTGGGTTTAGGGTTTCTGCATGCGTGGTTGCATGCCACCACGCTTGTTGCGGCTTCAAAATTTCCCAGATAAGCCCGTTCCCAATCCGAAAGCACTAAAACCAAAGCCTACACTGAACCCTAAACCCCTAAACCCCTTAAAAGGCCAAAGTCCTGGAACCCTAACCCCGAAACTTGAAGCCCCCCAGAAGGCCCCCCAAACCCCCAAACCCCCTAAATTCCCTTCGACCTCGCGAGGCCCCTAAGCCCCACAGCAAGCCTCGCCCTGAGGCAGAGCTACTTTGGCTGAAGAAGCAGACTGGCGAGGTGGGGGTTTCTTCGTCGCTTTAGGGTTTGTGTAGGGTGTATAGGGTTTAGGGTTCAGGGTGTAGGGGGTGAAGGGCTTGGGTTTTTGTAGGGTATGCTGTTTGCTTTTTGTTTAGTTTTTTTTTGTTTGGGGGGGGGGGAGGTTTAGGGCTTGGTACAGGGTTTTGTCGGGCTTCGGATGTCTCGGGCTTGATTGTTGTGAGGTCGCCAGGTGCAAGCTGTACATAGTAAAGGGTTTAGCTTGGGATGTTCCCCCTGATACTAGGGGGGGGGGGGGGTACTAGAATCCCTATCAAGGACTGTTCGGAAAACGGGGAAACATCCCAAGGGGTAGTCGCCGCTGCCTGCTCAGACAGGTCCTCCAAGAGATCACCAACATGAAGCTGGATATCCGGCGGAAAGATGCGACAATTCTTGAGGCGCCACTGAGATGCTGTTGTTAATTGTGGGGTTGCGGCTTTCAGGTACTACAGGTTGGGATGTTCCCCGCCTTATACTTTTCGGACTAAGCTACTCGTGTCTAAGGGGATGATAATGGGGTGCTACTATATTAAGGACTGCTAGTATAAGGGTGAACATGCCAAAATATAGGGGTCGGAAAAATTTCCAATGATATTATGATGGTCCCTATATACTTATACTACGAGAACCCCCAAAACGCTGTTCTAGTCTTTTTGGCCCCTATATCAGCTGAATATCACTGGGGCCCTGAGCCCCACTTGATGGATCCCAAATCCCAGGCCATTCCCGCCCCCAACAAACAATGGTGACAGCAACAAATGCATAAGAATGGTGCCTCCCAAACGAGCAGTGCCGCACGCATCTCCGGACCCAGTTACATGCCTGGGCGTTTGCAACCAAAGGACTTCATTGGCGTTGACTCGCGGCATCAGCGGATGGTTATCAAATCATAACGGGCCTAGTCCTAAACCCTAAACGCGAAACCCTAAACCCCAAACCTTATGACGAATACGATTAAACCCGAACACCTGAGAAGCCCCCCAATCCCAAAGCCCTGAACTCTGCAGTTGGGTCGACAAGCGGGCGCCCTCAAGCCCTCGTCTCAGTTGTCTTTTTGGTAGGGTTTAGGGTTTAGGATGTATAGGATTTCGGGCCTATAGGGTTTATAGGGTTGAGGTTAACAGTATAGGATCAGAGGAGTTTAGGGCTCACAGCGGACAAGTCTGGTTTCGGGCCTCGGGCTTATGGGGCTTATAAGGCTGCTTATAAGGCTTAAAGGGCTTATAGGTCTCTTGGGTCTCTTAGGGCTTAGGGCTCAGGGCGTTTAGGTTTGGGGTTTAGAGGTTTAGGGTTTTAGGGGTTTGAGGGTTTGGTCGGGTCACCAGTCCATGGTCGCCACTTGAGGTCCGCCAACGCCTGGCGTTCGGTCCGGCGGGCTTCCATCGTAGATGGCGAGGTCCGGCTCAAACTTATTCAAGATCCCCTGGTTCGGGGGAATGAGGCAATTAGGGCCCTGTATATACCCTTTGAGGGATTACATAGGGTACCTCAATCCCTCATTCCCTACTAAGAGCCGGCCAGAAGAGTTTCGTTCCAGAAGGGCTGGGAAATGCTGGAGAAGTCATGACCTGCATAAAGCTGCTGCTGATGTGTAGATGCATGGTGCATGCTTGGGGTGCTTGTCCAGAGGCTTTGTGCTGCTGCATTAGAGAGAAAAACTCGCCGACATAAACCTGCGAGCAAAGAAGCTGTGTGTTACGAGGCAAGCAGATCGAAGAGCAAGTGCTTCAAAGATGCGCCAAGGCAGGTGGTTCGCGTCTGCTGCAGCATGTGCCAGCACATTATCTTGTCCACCTAAACGCTAAACCCTAGACCCTAAACCCTAAACCCTAAACCTTAAACCAACTTCCCTGCCCCAGGACACAGCCCGGGCAACCTCTGAGAAACGGCGGGGGATCTTGGGGAATTGGCCGTGTTCTTCTCTGCTGGTACAGATCACGACCTCTTCATGCATCACGTTTAGGGTTTAGAAGGTTCAGAAGGTTTAGAAGGTTTAGAAGGTTTAGGGTGCTTTGTTTAGAAGGTTTAGGGTCTAGGGTCTCACATCATGAGGTGGATTGCCCATACAGTGCAACGTGTCGTGCCATCCCAAGAGTTGCCCTTCGTGTATATTCCTTGGGATGTTGCCCCCTTATACTGACAGTCCTTAATTTGGATTACAATCGGGGGTACTATAATCCCTACTAGGGACTGTTAGTATAAGGGGGGGAACATCCCAATATATTCCATTGTAGCAACTTGGACCTGTGCACGACCGATCTATGCGCCTCAGGCAGCGATCCGCTCCGAAGCTGCGTAGCACGAGGCCAGGCAGTATGAAGGACTACTGAAGATTGTTTTGGGAGATGCCTCCCCTAGATGTAGTCATCACTTGGGAAAACAAACAGTTTCCCCACATTTTGTAGCTGCACGCAAAGTCAGGCTTTTCTGGTCCAAGTTCCGCTGCAATGTGTCGCCGGCAGGAGTGGAACGTCGATGCTGTCAAGACGCATCCTCAGCTGACGATTCATGCCAAAAAAACGGTCCGAGCTTGGAACGACTCGTCTTTGGTGCTGTGGACAAGGCAGAAGAGCACCTCCGGTGCTCAGGACGCAGCTGCTTAGGGTTCGGGTTTTAGGGTTTGGGGTTTGGGGTTTGGGGTTTAGGGTACGTGCTGTCTCAGGGCACACCTGGGACGCCACAAGGACCCACGCCACGCTGTTGAGAACGAGGGCCGCGTCCGTGGACACTTGCACGGCGGCCGGGCTCCATGGGAAGGTTTAGGGTTTAGGATTTAGCAGTACTATTTAGGGCTTAGGATTTAGGGTTTAAGGTTTAGGGCAATGTCACGACTGAGAGGATTCTCTTTCTGCTCGTGACATCACAGAGAAGGCTCTCGCTTGTAGTGAGTCCTTGAATCGCTTTTCAGGCCTTCTATGACGGCAAGGGTCAAGTCCTCAGCGAATTTGCGCGCTTCCGAAAATAGGAGTACCCTTTCTGGGTGGTTCCTATCATCCAGACTCTACTATATTTGGGTTATGTTGGGGTACTCCTATTGTGAGACAATGCCGAATTTTCCACAGCGTCAACCGGGGCCATCACTGGACAGACAGGATCTCCTGGCCGTGCAGCGACGCGACCGGAGCCAGAACAGCGAGAGGCAAGCCATGTGACACGGAGAGATAGGGAGGCACCATACTTCGTCGGTAGGCCCTTGGAGCAGGTTATTCTTCCCATGTTGGGTTTTAAAGGATCATATTTCAAGAATATTTTCAGAGGATTTTAAGGGCCGTCCGAGCTTCGTCTCTGCCCTGCAGCACGTAGCACGAAGATTTAACTCCTTATGCCCCTGCGGAGGAGCGAAGCGACCTCACAGAAAATTCCCCTTGGTCAATGGCATTCTCATCCTCGAATTGAGAAGCAGTAAAGCTGGTGTCGCCCTTTTCAGGGTTTATGTTGAGGGTTTTTGAGTGCTTCGTGGGGGGGGGGCTGTAAATTTTTGGGACACTGAAGCTGTGAGACGTCAGGAAGCCTCTGCGAAGCCCGATCGGCCAGCAGCCCGTGTTTGCATTCAGCCCCTTGGCCGTACTCAGGAGCTTTCCTTTGCCCAAAGGCTCCAAGATACTTTCATGGGCAATGCTAGTACCCCGAAGTAGCTACTATTTCATCCCTTGTTGTTTCAATAACGGCATACTGAGAGTTATGGCTCCTTTTGCTCTCAACACAAGGGCCTGGATTTATGCTAGGTTCCCAACAAAAGGCAGAATACACCTTACAACCTCACAATCCTGAACCAAAAGCATCCCTAAGCCCTACACCTTAAACTAATGTTCCGTAAGGCGAATTGGTGGCTCGCGGCTGCTTCGTCCCCTTCGTCCGATCAGGCTGTCAGCCAACGAGGCGCCATGAGTTGAGTTGCAGTGTCTGTCACCTGCTTTTCGGCTTTATAGGCAAAAAGGCTTTAATTAGGGTCCTTAAGTACATAGAGTGAACCGTAATCAAACTTGTTGGGTTCCCCTATTAGCAGTTACAAACGTTAACTTCTCACGCTGCGGAGGCCGGAGGACGAACCTTGCCGACACCTTCCCGGAACGTGTGGCTTCGCAGAGCTGGATCAGGACTTCACATGACTCTGAATGGTGAAGGTTTAGGGTTTAGGGTCTGAAGGGTTTAGGGATAGCAGTTCGCCGAGCTGAACAGTTAGCTCCTGCGCGCTGCGTTAGCCACGTAAGTTTGGCAGGTGACGTCGATGCGGCGTCCAAGGAGGCCCTCCATACTCCTTTGGCTTCCCACCTGCCTGGTCAACACCTGGAACCCAGAGATCCTTGCGATCCTTTCACAGGTAGCCGGGATGGAGCCCATGGCGCCCGGTCCACCGTGGGCTTCTCAGCCACCTTACCTGCACGTTCCATGCAGTCTGAAAGGGTGCATGCCTTTCTCGCTTTCTTCACGTGCAGAATGTGCACATATGCAACATGGCCTCCAACACTCAACGACTTGGCCTGAAACAAGCTTGTGCGGAACTACAATCAAAATTGTGAAAGCTTTCCAGGTCAAGGGCGATCCCTCACAAGGAATGCGCAGATTCAATGTGCCAAATAAGCCAAACTAAATTCATTTAAATAATGAGTTCCTTGTTCTGGGTTCATCTGTGCAGGAGGCCTGCGCTTGAGATCCCATGATGCATGCTGCGCTGCATGTGACAAGCTGTCGGGTCAGTGACAAGGGGACATAGCTTGCACAGCTCCTGTAGCTCAGCACGCTGTCAGCATGGCAGCGCCGGAATTTCTCCGCTACGACCGCAATGGTGAGATCGTGGATGTTGACGAGTTCAATGTGGCAAAGGCGATCTTCGCCGGGGACATGCAGGCGCTTAGCCAAGAGGTCGAGTCGCAGCACCTGTTCGAGCTCTGCCTGGCTTTTGGCCACCAGAGCACGGCAGCGTTGCTGACCCAGAGGGTGCCTGGCTGCAGATTGGAGGCCTGGCACCTTGGGCCTTTCGCTGATCCAGCGGATCCTGAAGAGTTTTGGAGCTGTCGGTGCGGAAGCACGTGGAGGACATGCAAGTACTGCTGCTGGGGCTCGGCGGTGGAGGCCGGTCAGTGGATGAAGGACTGGGATGCCAAGCTTGCCGATGCGGTCGCCTGCGCCCACGCAGCGGTGGCACGGCCTGTAGCCCACGCGGCGTTCGCAGCGCTTCGCAGTGGCCAGCACCTCTGCAACCTCCAGATCTCGGAGGGGGCCATGGCCCGGCTGCTGGACTTGGCTGTCCTGACCGGGGACGTAGAGCTGGCCCAGCACTGCGCCAAGCATGGTCTGCAGCGGCCCTTGAGACGATGGAGGTCTCAGGACCTCTTTGATGACCCCGTGGGCCCCCTGGTTGCGTTGGCAGACGATGTTATGCAAGCCGCCATCCTCACTGGCGCAGACCTGCAAGGGCTTCATGTCGGAATTGATTGGTGGGGGAGGCTGGATGATGATTGCATTCCTTTGCGTGAGGCTGTTGCTTTGTGTGGTGACCTGCAGTTGTGGCAGCGTTTGGTCCCCCTACTGCCAGAAAGCAAGGACAGGTGGATCCCGAAAATGCTCGATTCCGAGCTACTATTGTGGCCATCCGCATCACCTGATTGGACATGGGAAATTTGCATGCCTCGGCTCCGAACTGCAGTGCTGGCGAACTTGGATCTTGCGCGGTTTGAAATTATCGATGGGTACAGAGAATTTATGCTGCAGCGCTGTCCTTGTGGGTTTGAAAAAGGACAGGGGTATGCTCGCGATTGTCCAAATCGTCTTCTGGACGCGGCTGTATCCTGCGGACAGTCGGATTGCGCAGAGCTGCTTGCGTCCAGAGGCTGTGTCTCCAAGTGGACACGTGAAGCGTGCCTGCCATACGCGAAGTGCGGCGCGTGCGGAAAAATGACACTGGCTGCCGCGGGACCCGCGCCACTGGAGGAGCGCCGCAGAGCCGCCGGGGTGGCTCTTCGAGCAGCTCTCGCTCGTGCCAGACAACTCGCTGCTCCCATGGGCCTGGGGGTCTACCAGGCCCTGCTCGCCTGGGGCCATGGCAAGAAGGTGCCGCCGGCCTTGGTGGACATGATCCTCCCCTTCGCTGCAGAGAGGCCCGACATTGCCCGTGTGCTGCAGGGGCTTGAGGCGGAGCTCTTGCAGGCAGCCAGCGCCACACTTCGAAGTGCGGAGCAGCCGCCACGAACGAGCGAGACGAGCGGAGCACCGACGCAAGCTCACGAGGTCCAAGCAGACCCGGTATACGATTATGCTCCCGAGGCACAGGAAGGCCCGGATGTGAAGTCCACCGACGACGTGCTCACTGCGGTGCGCAACAGCAAAGCTGAGCCGGCACCCCTGAGCTTGGATGGCGTCATCGCCTTCAAGCTCAGGCGGAAGGCCAACGCCCCGCATGTCAACGAGCTGCTGTTCGACCCCGAGGGGCCCCTGGCTGAACTGCACCGGCGCGTCTTGGACGCTGGATGTGAAGTGGTTCCGGACTGGTCGCCCGTCAAGGCCCTCTTTGTGCCCTGCACCTTGGAACAGTTCCTGGAGCTGACTGACGACCGCCACTCAGTTGCAGAAATGTTTCTTTGCAGATTTGCTTCGAGCCCTGAACCAGACATGGAAGGCAGCAAGTCAAGCCCATGCCGGCCGGCGCAGCATGAATTGACCATAATTGACCATTATCATAAGTTATGCTGTCGCCTGTGTGTACGTACCTACATAGAGACATGAGGTACCACTGGGCCCGAGCTCGGCAAGGAGCACCTCTTGGCATTGCAAGCCGATGGGCCTCTGCTGGACCGTGCTTTGCGCAGCCTCAGCAACTAGGATGCCCGGTACCATAATTTCTGAGTTTTTGTGCTTAAGCTTCGGATCTCTTATACAAACACCTCCGGAAACAAAAGAGGGTACCCACTTTTTTCTCATGGGTTCCTGGAGTAGCCCTCGAGGCAAGAAGTTTCGCCCTCGACTCGTGCCTCCGGTCCGCGACAGTGCGCAGAGCGAACCCGAGGACGAGGATGACGAGGTCCTGATCCTCGACCAGGTTTGGGACATGTGGCGTTTTTGCGTTGTTTGTTAACTTCAGTTAACTTTTTCTTGAGACCTTAAACCCTAAACCCTACACCCTAAGCCCTAAACCGCATTGAATGCTTCTAAAGGGCCAGGACCCATGGTGTGCCCTGCTTCCCTGTCGCAGGGGATAGCATAACAAGTCGCTTTAAACGAAAAGGGCACCCGTGCAGTATCTATACTAACAGTCCTTAAGAATTATAGTACCCCCTAATTACTATGATCCCTATGAAGGACCGTTAGCATAAGGGGGAACATCCCAACCTCGGCCCTAAACCCTAAACCCTAAACCCTAAACCCTAAACCCTAAACCCTAAACCCTAAACCCTAAACCCGGGGGGGTTCTACGAATTCACGGCCGAGGATCGTGGAGGAGTGCGGGCTCCGCACGGACTCCAGCCTGGGCTTCCCAAGCTGGGGCTGAATTATAGTTTAGGGTTCAGGGTTCAGGGTTCAGGGTTCAGGGTTTAGGGTTTAGGGTTTGGGGTTTAGGGTTTAGGGCTACAGCTGGGCAAGAGCTTGCTGTGAATCCCCTACTCCCTACTGTTGAGCCACTCTGTACCAAAACCCAGCCAGCATGTGCCATCTGACCAGAATGGGACACGGCGCCCGGCCAGACATGTGGCTTGACCGCCAGGGTCTTGTTAGCCTTGGAGTCTGGCAACATCATGGCTGGACCGCTTATGTGCCGAGAAGTTTCGCGGATATTCGCAAACTGTACAGATGGAGGTTGGCTTCAGCAACCCACAGCGAAGCTATGAACTATGGCCCTGAATCTTCTCACCTGCTTTCGTTGCTGATTCCGAAGCCTCTTCTTAGCCAGACCGGCGACTCCCAGCCGCTCCAAAGCCAAGTCCCAGGGTCGTGTTAGCCTTGGAGCGAAGCTTCCTGGAGTTGTCCAGCGCGGGATGCCGGCGTCAGAAGCGATCTGCGTGCGCGTTTCCCCGAGTTCGCCTTGCCTGCCCATCCGAAATCCTCGGCCCCTATTTGGGAGAGACCTGAGGTGCCAGCGGCTGATGGGGAACCACCAGGCATGTGAGTGATTGCGATGTCCCAGGGTGTTGCGCACCACGAACGCAGTGAGCTTGCGCGTCCTGATTTGCTAGATGCTGCGGCCGCACCTAGAAGAGCCTGAAGGCCGGGTAGCTTCTGCTCTCCACCAAACCCTAAACCCTCCATGAATTTCTTGAGGCACTTCGAGCAGCTCCTGCAGCGAGGAAGACAGCCCACCTCCCAGCTCGATGTGAAAGAAGTGGTTTCGTGGCCTGCGCACTCGATTCAGGTGAGGCCGAGGAGATGTGCTGTGATAGGCAGGCTGCACAAGTTCTTTCAAGTACTCCAGTGCGCTTTTGCAGTTTGCAGAGCTGAAGTATGTCGATACCTCGGGGCAGGCCATGGTGTGTCCCAGCCAGGCCACAACATGTCATCACCTCAGATTAGTTTCGCTGCTTGCTTACGTATGGTTCGATCCCTGCCACCCCAGGAGTATTTGCTCAAGCTCGACTTGACGCTTGTCTCCCAGCACATGGCGAACAGCTCTTTCACTGAAGGCGCGTTTGTTCCTCCAGCCATGCACTCGCATCGAGCTCTCAAAGCCTTGACACATGTCAAGGTGTGGAAGCCAGCCGGTTTCTCAGACCAAACACGTTGCAGCAAAGGTTTGCAACCGTACCCCAACTGCCTAAGCTCTCAAATGCTGGGGCTGTCAAGGGTGCAACTTGTTTCAGGTGCAGCTGTTCCCCAAACGCCTAGAGGAAGGCCTCCGGTTGCGCGCATCTCAGCAGTACCGTCGGAAGTGGCCGCCTTCAGACGTGCACCCCTTGATGTCTTGCTATTACCCCCTCGACTGTTGATGGAGTAGAATCTAATCCATCAACCCCAAACCCTATTGCGAGCTTTTAGAGTACCGAGGCATGGTGGCATTCTTCAGAGGCCACGGACTTCGAAGCTGAAACAGCGAGCGCCCTGACAATCCTCCGCTCAACCCTCAAGCCCTAAACCCCCCAAACCTAAATCCTAGAACCCTTATACCCCCAAGGCAAGATAGCCCAAGAAGCCTCCCAAAGACACGCATATCCCTCTGGTTCTTAGTAGGGAATGAGGGTATTAAGGCCTTATATACCCTTCAAGGGAGTGTATGAATATGGGTACCTCATTCCCCCCTTCCCACTGAGAACCAACCAGCTACAGGCCCCAGGTACCGAACCTACGACCTGACGCAGGTGACGGCACCAGCTTCGGCGCGGGGCCATGCCCCCTTCACGGTACCGTCCCCAGGCTCCTGCGAAGGCAAGGGCTCAGAGAGAGTTGCCCTAAACCCTAAACCCTAAACGCGAGGGGAAGAACAGAACTCTGCAAGAGAGTTTCGGACATCAAGCAGCCTGAGGAAGCATTCGGTGGCAGTCGGCGACGAGAACCTCGAAGCTTGTGCGCCATCAAGGGTTTAGGGTTTAGGGTTCAGGGTTGAGGGTTCAGGGTTTAGAGTTCGGGGTTTAGGGTTTAGGGTTTAGGGTTTAGAGTGCTGTGGGGTGTTGCCTTGCCTTCTGGCCAGGGCCAAGTTTTTCTCTGCTCCTTGAAAGCCAATGTAATGCCACCGCTGAACAGTAGCTGCCGCTACCTATGGTGGTTTCCGAAAATTAGGGGTTCCTTATTGGGGGTCCTTATTATAAGGGAATCCTACTATTTGGGATCTATATTGGGGGTCCCTTATTTGCGTAAACCCCATATCCTACATGGTTTTAACTTGCAGGGTTGCTTTGGTTGTGAATGCTGGACTTCATGAGTGCAAATGGGATGCATTGAAGCATACCTAAGTGGCCGCCTTCTTAACATGGTCTGCATAGTTAGGTGGCGCAGCTTATGTTCTCCAAGCCTCCCCAGAATCTGCGCTTTCCACTAGAGGGGCCTGCAGGCGGTGAGCTGAAGTGGCTGCACACATTCACCATGTTCGAAAGAAGCAAGTCTAATCACAAGGAACCAAAAGAAGGCCTTCAAGCCCTTGGTTTCGATTTTTCAAAAGGGCAGGCACGCAACACCCCTTGTGTAATTTATGAAACTCATGAAGTATAGGCAGTGGGTGGAGGTACGTGCTGGAGTTGGTGACGCCTCGGACAGCCTTTGCCTCGGATGGCAGCAGAATGTGTCTGTATAGAATGGACCTTTTCGTCTTTTGGGGATTACATTGCATTGACAATTATTTAGTCAGTTCTCAACATTATGGTCCCTTTTTGGGTGCACGACAGTTCAGGGGTAGTACAACCCCAAACGGGACCACGTAGTCTCCAGAATTAAGATTGTTGACCGCATGAGGCCGTGTCGTTCCAGCCGAACTCGGAGGACGCTGTGGGGTCTGAATGTCCAACCTCCCCTAAACCTCCCGCATCCGGAAGCGAACCCTGGTTCCGTTTCTGGGGTGCCTAGCTTCTGTACTCGCGCATACTCACTCGGAAATGAAGGTGCATGTGCCCCTGGAGCCCTGCTAGGGATTCGTATCGTAATAGGAGCCCAAGAAGAGACCCAATTTACGTAACTTCCCACATGTTTATGAGAGGATGCGGAAGTACATAGTCCGCTACTGCTGCTGCGGCCTCCGCCCGCGTCTCAAGATGTTTTGTTACATCTCTCCACAGTAGGGTCCTTTTTGGGCACCCCAAGACTCCCTGAGCATAATGGTATACACATACTTATTCCTTGCTCCCAACCAGTGACCGAAGTGGGAGAACTGACCATGTGCACTTGCATGCCTCTGGCCTTCTTTTGCCGCAGACAAGGTGCGAAGACACTCCGAACGGAGGCAGCTGGTAAGATCCGGGGGCTTCCGAACATAGGGGGTGCCCTTTTCTTGCAATTCCTATAGGGTTTGAGTATTTGGGGCGTATAGTAGGGGTTTTCTAGGACCCAACAAGAGACCCTAATGTAGAGAACTACCCATGTGCAGGAGTAGATGCATCTTGCTTTGAATGTCTCTCCTGTGGTCAGGCGGTGGCCGGCCGAGCCCGGGCAACATTTCAACCTCAAGTGTGCGAGCCTTACTTGGAAGCTGCCAAATGCTGTTAGAATAATCAGTAGCAATCGTAAAAACATAACAACATTCAACATAAACGTAAATGTACACTAAGGTGAAGTTCGAGTATCAACAAAGTAGAATTAGAACATAACAATAATATAATGTGCATCAGAATTTAGGGCGAAGCTGCTGCAAATGAGCGCTGCATACCCCTCTCGATCTCTCTCAGGACGAGGATGACATTCGAACCCGGCTCAACAAGGATGGGTGCCTTTTGGGGTCTCTATACGGATTAGTAGGAAGCCTAGCTGATGCATATAGCCTGCAAGCCATATGCCTGTGCCTCCCCGAGGACATCGCCAAGCGCGCAGCGTCCGTGGATATCCAGTGCCAGGACAAAGATGAGGTGCCCAGCTTAAGTTGGGGCTTCGTTTCGAAACTGAAACAAAGCAACATAAATCCTGATCCTGAATAAGCAGCCCTTGACCCCTAAACCCCTACATTTCCCTTTGTGAGCACTAAACTGGCGTCTTTGTCGGTGGGAATCATCACGAAGTTCTTCTCCGGTGCACTTGTGTGCTCCGGGTTTACTAGGGTGGTCGGCTCCCGCCACAAGAGGCCCCCTGCCAGCCCGACGAAGCGGCACTCGCGCACGTGTGCGGGACCTGGATGTGTACTTCGTTGGGTGGGTTTTGGGCTCAACCAGCAGAAAATGAGCAGCGAAGGAGTTTTGTTTACCAAAAAGAGGCGGAAGATGTTGCTCTTTGCTTTGAGAGAAGTTTCGGAAATTTCTGGGCGTGGGACACGTGGCACAGAGTCGAAGGGCCAGGGCCAGGGTAGCTGACGCGCGCAAAGCGGTGCGATAGGGGAAGCCCTGTAGAAATACCAAGGGTTCGGGACTGGGTAGGTAGCCTTTAATCATCTTCAATCTTTTGTTTTATGTAGAATCCTACTATTTATAATTTTGGGCTATATTCAGCACCTCAGAGTCGCCCCCGTAGAATCCCTGTACTCTTGTGACTTGCAGCAGTACAAAAACTACCCTCGAATCAAATAGACCCGGCCATGCTAGGGGATTAGCATCATAGTGGCCGTGCTCGGGCAGATGTTCTAGCAACCCTAAACCCTAAACCCTCTACGACCTTTGCACCACAACCTGAGGGGTAGGAGTTTGGATCCTCGAGGTTTTTTCGAGCCACTACTCATGCACAACCCAATCACAGAAAGACAGACAGAAGTGGCTTGGATCGTCTCAGCAAGGGCATCTGTGATGTCCGAGACCCTTGCCCGTCACATCTTAAAGCTGCACCCTAACCTGCGTTTATCAGTCCTAAGTTCACCTGCACCCTGAAAAGCTGAGGGGTTTGGGGTTTAGGGTTTAGGGCAAATCAGCTGCAGCTGGAGTTGCTCCAGGCTGACGACACAGGTGCCAACTCCGGCACGAGCTCTGAAATCGACATCTGGTGACCCGAGTTCACCTGCAGCCAAGCCCGTTGAAGCCTAAGCTAGGGTGCAAAGGGTTAAGGGTCGCAGGCTTTATGTTTCTGCAAAGTTTTGGGGCATATCGTCTGCCGAGCCCTCCCTGTAGACCTCCCTGGTATCCGGTGTCCTCAGTCCTCTCACGAGCAAGGTACCCTGAGGTCCTCATTAAAGGTACCCTAGGGACCTGACCGTCGGGTTCTGAGGCGTGGGGTTTAGGGTTTAGGGTTTAGGGTTTAAGGTGTATGGAGTGGAGTGCACGCTAATTCGGAAGATGACTATTTGAGAAGGCTGCGCCAGGCAGACAACTCGACAAAGCCATCTTCATCCCCGCAAGAAACTTAAACCCCTATGCTTTAAGGGCTAGTTGCCTACTAAGAACTAGTAAGGCTTGTCAAAGCTTGTTCTGCTGTGCCCATGCTTCAATTCGCGGCAATCGAATTTGAGTGTACAGACATGCATCGACTTGACGAAAAGAAGAAGCTTCCTGCACGAGCCACATTGCCACGTAGAGTCACGAGGAGCGCTTTCGATCTGATTGCAAACGCTTGGGGCGACAGACCATTGTCGACGTGCCGCCGGCCAGTCTTAGAGCTGTTGGTTCAAATGTGATAGCAGCCTTTTGCTGCCAGCAGCTGGCAAAACCAGCGCGGAATCGCAGCCGTCTCCTCGATTGGCGTTGTGCGGTTTGGTGTTTGTAGGGGTGCTGGTGACTCCCGTCGTCCAGACATGAAGTTCAGAGCCTTTGATTTGGGCGGTTTCCGGGAAGCAGGGGGTTACCCTTTCTGGTGTTATGATAAGGCTGATAAGGGCTAGCCCTGTTAGGCAATGACCTTAAACCCCTGAAAGGTACTCCTATTTTGGGGAAACGCCCAAGTGATTTGGCACATCTTCTCAGGCTGTGGCTTGTATATCATGGCAGAGTTGTTCGGGCCTGAGTCGCGCGTGTTGATTTGTGTTGAGGTGCAGCGTGCATTGGCGTGCATTTGGTTTAGCTTAGCGTTTAGCGTTTAGCGTTTAGCGTTTAGCGTTTAGGGTTTAGGGTTTAGCGTTTAGCGTTTAGCGTTTAGCGTTTAGGGTTTAGGGTTTAGGGTTTAGGGTTTAGGGTTTAGGGTTTAGGGTTTGTTTAGGGTTTAGGCTTTAGGGTTTAGGGTTTAGGGTTTAGGGCTTAGGGTTTAGGGTTTAGGTTTTAGGGCTTATAGGGTACCCACTGTGTGAGACCAACGATCGGAGGGCAGAGTGAGCTTGCCTTGATGACTAGACCACGACTGCGGCATCGAGGTTGAGACGCCTGCCGCAGCCACGGCAGAGCTTAGAGGTCCGCGATGTGATGTAGCCGTGAATGACAGAGTGCAAACCCTAAACCCTAAACCCTAAACCCTCAGCCTTGCAAACGTCCTGACACGGCTGCAACAGGTAGCCGATGCCACAGTGGGGTCCTTCAAAGCCTCGGCAGCAGCTGAAACTGCCATTGCCGGCTGCTCACGTTTGCTTCACTTTCCCCTGGTTCTTAGTAGGGAATGAGGGAATGAGGTACCCTACATACTCCCTTAAAGGGTGTGTGTATATATATATAGATAGATAGAAGTATATATATATATATGTATAGGGCCCTACTTCCCTCATTCCTACTAAGAAGCAGGGGGTGCTTCACTTTGCATGCCAGGGAAGTTACTTTACACCCTCTCACATACCTTGTTTTTTATCATGAGAATGCTTAGAATTGATATGTGGGTTAAAGTGCCCTCATGTATAGCAACCCTGAACCCTAAACCCTAAAACCCTTAACCCTAAACCCTAAAACCCTAAACCCTAAACCCCAAGCCCCACATGTCGCCGGCAAGGGGATATGGGGATGCATGAACCCATCCTCAAGGTTGCCGCCAGCCGTGGTCCACCTCCCTACGGGAGACGGAAAGGCCAGTGTGCAGACTACGCATGTAAGCACGTCCAAAAACTAGGGGTTGGGTTTTGGGTTTTGGGTTTAGGGTTTAGGGTCTGGGGCTTTGGGTTTTGTATTTCGAGTCTTGGGTTTTGGGTTTTGGACTTGTAGGGGTACCCCCACTCCCCTCCTTGGGGGGCCCCTTTTATAGTTCTAACAAACGTTGTCGCATCGTGGGGGTTACTGCGGGCGGGGGCGCGGGCCGGGGCGTGAGATCCAAGAAACGACGTCCTGCGCCATCTCCTAGCCGAGAAGGCTTGCAATGCTGGGCCCATACCAGGCAACGCATTCACTATGACACTTGGGCTTGGTGGGTAGTTAGAACTGGGGTCCTAAACCACACTTCCTAAACCCTAAACCCTAAACCCTAAACCCTAAACCCTAAACCCTTCATAAGTAGGGTAGCTCTTAGCACAAGTGGGCACATCCCAAGTTTATTGTTAGGGTTGAAAGAATGGCCCTTATATTCCCTCAGAGGATCTTTAAAAAAAGGGTATCCAAACCCAAGGGTACACAACCTTATAGGGGTCCGAGGTAGAGCCCTATGAAAGTCTGCCCTTGTGATGTTCCTCCTTATATTAATAGGGATAATAATAGTAATAATAGAAATAATTGTAAACGCTTGCGCGCGCCGCCTCGGCAGCCGGGCCGGCCCCAGGACAGGAAAGGAGGAAAGAGGGTTTCGCAAAAAAAGGGGAGGAAGGGCAGCGGGGTTAAAGGGGGGGGGGGGGGGGTGGGGGAGGGGGGGGGTGAGGGGGGGGGGGGGGGGAGGGGGGGGGGGAGGGGGGGGAGGAGCCATGGACAGGCGGGACCCTCCACGGCATCGGTTTGCAGCTCCTCCAAGCAATTACACAGAGGGGGGGTGGCGTCACAACATTTTGCATGGGAAGGGTGGGGTTAGGGGGAAGGAGGCCCGATCCGGGTCTGCTTGTTCCAGACGCTTCTCGGCAAGAAGCCGAGGCGAATAATAGTAAGGGGTTCGATGAGCCCTATAAAGGACTGCTAGTAGAAGGGGGAACATCCCAAGTCTGACCGCAGGTTGGACCCCGCGGAGCTTAGCCGACTATGGGGATGGGGGAGCTTTCCCCGAGATTCACATGGCCCAGCCGCCATCTCAGCTGAATCTGAGTTGCTTTCATGGCTCTACTCTTAAGTAGGGAAGAAGGATAGGATATGAGGTATCTTATGTCCTATTTCCCTACTGCCTTGGCATCTCGGCAGCTAAACTTCGATCTTTGAGTGTGCGAGCATCTAGCCTACACTGTAGCTTGTGTAGGTGAAGGCCCTAAGCCCTAAACCCTAAACCCTAGACCCTAGACCCTAGACCCTAGACCCTAAGACCCTAAAAAGTGGGCCCTTTCACCTCTTTTGGCTGTGTCCACTGGGATTGGCTGCGCAGGTACCCGCTGGACATGGGCAAAGCTGGCAAGACCCACCAGCAGGTGCTGCGGTGGTTTCAGGTATAAACCCTAGACCCTAAACCCTGAACCCTAAACCCTAAGCCTACGTCTGTTGGACTTTGGGCCATGTGAGCTTTGCAGGTCGTGGCGCTTCAAACGGACGCCACGGGCAAGATTGCATGGGATGCAGTGATCAAGCACAAGTCGGCCCCTGGCTCAGTGTCAGAGCTTGCCCTGAACCCTAAACCCCAGACCCTAAACCCTAAACCCTAAGCTCAAAGGGTCCAAATACTAGGACGCAGAGGAGGCCCTTATTCCCTTATCTTGGGGTTCAGGTTCCCTCTGGGATGCCACTTTGAACCAGATTCCTAGGTTACACTTGGGTCCAGAATACTTTGGATCAAGTATACTTGGGCCCCAAAGCGACTACAACTACTACCATCCCAACCCTGAAAAGCTCGACCCCCTATCATTTATAAACCCTACGCCCTAAACTCGCTTCTCAACCCATCAAGTCTGCAAACCCTGAGCTACAGATACCCTAAACCCACGATGAGCCCCTTAACAAATCGGCCTCAATCCTCAACCCTAAACCCTAAACCCCAAGGATAAGCTGGCTGTGTGGACGCGGCCGGAAGACTCCCGCGAGAAATGGTCGAAGCCCGAGGACTGCCCTCTGAATCAGCTCCGAAACTTAGGCGCGAGCCCTAAACCCTAAACCCTAAACCCTAAACCCTAAACCCTAAACCCTAAACCCTAAACCAGTTTTCGGGATGTTGAGGTGGTTTAGGGTTTGACGTCTGAAGGGTAGAGGGGCTTAGGCTTTATGATGGGGCTTGCAGTAGGGGTTCGAGCCCTCAGCTTTTAAACCCTCACCTTTACACCCGAACTTCTAGACCCTGAAAGCGCTAAACCCCAAACCCCAAAAAACCCAAAACCCCCCAACAAAAAAACCAGATTCCCAAAGAAAACCAACCCCCCCCCCCCCCCAACAAAGCCAAAAGACCCGTCCCAAAGCTTTGAAGACAGAATGCCAACAGGAGCTCGAGAGGCCGTCTCTGGAGATCGACATCCTTAATACCGAGCGAACGCAGAAGGCGGGTTTAGGGTTTAGGGTTAGGGCTCAGGGTTCAGAGTTTAGGGTTTGAGAGCTTCTTTCTGGGACTTAAGGGGCCTAAAACCCTATACCCCAAACCCTAGAAACTACAAACCCTAAACCCTTTAAACCCTAAACCATAAAACCCAATCCTGGGTCTTCTGAATTCGAATGACCAAGATCGCCCCCTCAACCAGAAATCCCTCAGACCAGGGGACTGAGGCTTTCCTTAAAAAGCCCTTAGCCCCAGACTCTGGGGTTTAGACTGACTGTTGGTTGGGGAAGAAATCAGGATTTGAGGGTTTGGGGTTTGGTCTTGTGGCTTAGGGTTCAGGATGTAGGGTGCGGATGCACGCTAAAAAACGGCGAAGAAAAGCCCTGAACCCCAAAATCTTGCCCCTTTGACTCGCAAAAGTCCTCAACAAAATCCCCCACACCTGCACCGTAACCCAAAACCCTAAACCTAAACCCCAAACCCTGCACCTCTTCGACCCAAACCCGAACCCCGATTCCGCAGGCCCTAGAGATGGCGCTCAACGGCAAAATCCAAGCCGGCGTGCGGCTTGACGGCAAGGAGTTGGGCTTGGGGTTTGGGGTTTAGGGTTTAGGTTTAGGGTTCAGGTTTTTGGGTTTTGGGTTTTGGATTTGAGTTGATGGGTTATAAAGGTTGGGGGAATCTGAATGATACTTAGGGACTGGGTAGGTAGCCTTTAACCTTTTTGGTTATATAGAATCCTACCATATGTAAAGGGTTAACCTTTTTTGGGCCAGGGTATTCAGCCCCGCAGGATAGGTCATAAAGGTTGGGGGAATCTGAATGATACCTGAGGGGTGTAGAGGAGGGCAGAGTTTGAGTTGGAGCTGTGGGGTGCGCAGTGCAGAAGCCTCTTCAGCTCCATAGAACCCTGAACGCTAAACCCTAAAGCCCAAACCCTAAGCCCTAGTATAAACCCTAAACCCCAACACCCCTAAACCCCTAAACCCCTAACCCCCTAAACCTCTGAACCTCTAAACCCCTAAAACCCTAGACTAAACTCTTGGTTTAGCAGAGGCCTGCAGAGCCGAGTCCACGAACCGCAGACCCGAAGCCACGTTGCCAGTACCTGCATCTCAGGCCCAAGAAGCAGGAGCAGAAGGACCGCGGTTTACGGTTTAGGGCTAGTATTTATTGGGGCTTTGGGGTTTTGGGGTTAGGGTTTAGGGTTTTAGGGTTCTGGGGTTTTAGGGCTTAAGGGTTGCTTGCACACAGTTGCGCTCTCTTTGCTGCCGCCGCTTTTTGCAGATCCCTTACAACTTGTGGCACTGCCAGGAAGCCGAGTTCATCCGGTACACTCCGAACCCGGACGCGTCCGCGCCTTGAACTCTCAACACTCAAACCCTACACCCGAAACCCTAAACCCTTAACCCGTCTGTACTGAGCGCGAAACTCCAAAGCCCCAAAGCACTCAACCACCAGTCGTTTCGAACCAAGGCCGGGCTACACCCCCAACTGCCGTGCACCTCTGCTTCAAGAGATGGCTGAGTGAGAGGGAGGGGGTGCCAGGGGGGGCAAGAGTGGGGTAAGAGCCTACGCCTTTGCAAATTTAGTCATTGGTACTTGCAGGGTCGTGCAGGTTGTTCCGTGCTGGGTGTTTTCTAAACCCTAAACCCTAAACCCTTTTGACTTGACAAGGAGCGTGTCATCAAGCTGGTCGAACGACCAGTAGATCCTTTCGCGCCTCCGAAGTTCAAGCACAAGAAGGCCCGAAGCCCAGACTCCCAAACCCTAAATGGGGGTTTACGATATTAGGGGGTACTTTTTTTATTGGGGTCCTTATAAGAAGGCGTTCTTACTATTTGGGGGTCCAAATGAGGGGTCCCCTGTTTTCGTAAACCCCTAAATCTCTCCGGAGTGGCAGCTTGGGATAATTTGGACGTTCCCTTCTTGGCTTAGATTGAGGGACCTCCTCACAAATACTTTTGGGGACCTTTGACATTACCCATTCATGAGAAGATATGCGGACCTGTAACTTGCAATTACACTACCACCTATAGTTTCGATGCTTCTCACCCTAAACCCAAAGCCCTAAACTCGAAACTCCAACCCCTATTGACTTGCTAAGGTTCCTCGCGGGCCGCCCTCACCCCCGCCACCAGTTCACCATTCGCCTCCGCGCAAGCTCACGGCCAAGGAAAGCAAGGGTTCAGGGTGTCGGGGTTCGGGGTTTCATGGGTTAGGGCGAAGCAGACCGAGACATCTTGTTGTGCAGCTCATGTGCACGTGTGGAGGACCAGAAGGATTGGAAGATCCCACCTTGCATTTCCAACTGGAAGAATGCCAAGGCCTCGATAGAGTAGGGTTTGCATAGGGTCAAGGTTGTAGAATGAAGGGTTAAGGCTATTGACTTTCTTCAAGAGGTTTAGGGCTTAAGGTGTTGGGGTTTAGGGTTTAGAGAGGCTTCTTGTGCCGAATGACATCTGATTTAGCCTCGTGATGCCAGGGTTACACGATCCCCCTGGACAAGCGGCTCTCAGCAGATGGGCGAAGCTTGCAGGACACGGACGCAGTACGGGGGCAATTCTGCATTGTCAGGGCGTGCGGTTTTGGGATGCTCAATTTGTCCATGAAAGGGTTCAAAAGGCTGAGGGCCCGCACTGTGGGTCTTGCTGAAATCGCAGAGGATGTTGCAGTCAACGACAAGTTTGCTGCGATCAGTGAGGATTTGTGCCCGATCGGTCTGGAAGCTTGCTTCAGGTCGACATGGGAGTCTCTGTTTCATCTTGGTGCAGGTACCTCGCCGAGCGTAAAGCAAGAGAAGAAATCAAGATCAGGAATGACCTGATCCGACAGAAGAAGGCTGCTTTGATCAGCGCGTGTCTTCCGAACCTGCGTGCGTGCTACACATTGTGACGAGCTGCAAGGTTCGAGAAGAGGAGATTCGGGAGCAGCAGCTGCGAGACTTGGCCGCGAAGGCTTGGACACTGCTTTTGCGCTGCCTTAGTCCGGCGAGGTGTTCTGCCGATCATGTTTGCAGTCTGCTGAACTGCTGCCTCTCCAGTTTCGGAGGCGAGGCAACAGCGTGCAGAGCTGGCATCAGCGCTGGCAGCCTAGACAAGGGGTTGTATGATGTATGCATGCATGCATGCATGCGTGAATGCATGCATGCACGCATGCATGCATGCATTCACGCATGCATGTATGCATGGTAACTTTGTATGTTTACATATTCATTTTTGATTATACTGTAATATTCGGTATTATACCAAATTAGACCATGTTATACTATACTATTTGTTGCTATACTATATTGTATTGTATTGTATGGTATTGTATGGTATTGTATGGTATTGTATGGTATTGTATGGTATTGTTTTGTGTTGTGGTGTATTGTATTGTACTATATGGTCTTGTATCATACCGCATTCATGTCATGTATGTATGTGCATATGTATATGTATATGTACATATATATATATGTATGTATATGTGTGTGTGTGTTGCTTATTTGATTGGTTGTTCCCCACCCTCGGTGTGGGGTTGTTAGATTCTAAACTCAACTCTTCTCCTCGCCCGAACTGTTCTCCTCGCCCGGAACTCTTCTCCTCGCCCAGTCTACTCCTCGCTCATGCTCAACTCTAGAGTGTTCTTGGAGTGCCCAACCCAGAGTCTCCTGGAGTGCCCAACCCCCCACCCCAGAGTGTCTCCGGAGCCCCAGAGTCTCCCTGGAGTGCCCTACCCCACAGTTTTCCTGGAGTGCCCAACCTCCGGAGTGCCCAGCCCCAGAGTCTCCCTGGAGTGCCCAACCCCAGAGTATCTACCAAGAGAGGGTGGGGATGTTCGAAGTAAAATTATTTCTGTATTTATAACTTTCATAGTTTCAAATGGGCCCGAATCCAAAGCCCTATAACATTAGCCCAGAGAATATACTTCTCATAGGTTCCCCTCAAGTCCTAAACCCTAAACCCTAAACCCTAAACCCTAAACCCTAAACCCTAAACCCTAAACCCTAAACCCTAAACCCTAAACCCTAAACCCTAAACCCTAAACCCTAAACCCTAAACCCTAAACCCTAAACCCTAAACCCTAAACCCTCACCCCAGTGCCCCAAGCTCTTTCCACAAGTTGTCTCCGCATGCCCAGGCCAGCCAAGGACGGCGAGGACACCAAGGAGGCCGACGACAGGCGTCAGCGCATGGAGGTGCCGAGACGTGGTGAAATGTCGGTTTATATAGGGTTTAGGGTTTAGGGTTTAGGTTTGGGGTTTGGGGTTCGGGGTTTGAGGTATAGGGTTTAGGGCTTTGACTGCGAAACCTTAAGTCCTAACCCTCTGTGTGTGTGTGGGAAGATCTTTCGAGGTGTTGAAAGACCGGCAGAAGGAGATTGAGAGAGACCAGCGTTTGGAGTTGGCAGGCAGGGGGCTTCACAAAGCTTGTGTGGGGTCTTTGGGCCCTTGGGCTTAGGGTTGCAGCAATTTGGTGTTTTTGTTTCTGGGACTTGGGTCTAAGGGTTTAGGGCGTTGGGCAGGCCTAGGGTTTGCTTTTGGGTTGTTTCGGTTGTGTTGAGATTGGGGTCCGGGGTTTAGGGTGTAGTTTGCTGTCAGTCTTTTGGTGGCTTCGTCCTATCTCTCCCGGTTGCTGACAGCACGACACTGCAACGCTGGCAGGCAAGAAGAACAAGCGAGGCCGTGAAGAGGACCGCGACGTCTCTGAGCGGATCGCGCTGGGACAGGCCCAGTCAAAAAATCTGCTTTCGTCATGAGGGTTTAGGAGTTTAGGGTTTAAGGTGCATCCGGATATCAGGTTAGGTCACGTTAGTCTTTCGTCATGAGGGTTTAGGAGTTTAGGGTTTAAGGTGCATCCGGATATCAGGTTAGGTCACGTTAGTAAGAGTCTTGTCGTTGCAGGCCGCACAGCCTACGAGCTCAGAAGCCATGTTCGACCAGCGTCTCTTCAATCAGTCGGCCGGAATGGTCCCGCCCTAAGCTCACGATGTCATGCTTACCTCAGGCCCCGCTGAAGGATCTGAACCGATTCAAAACGCGAGCTCCTCCGCCTCGTCAGGACAGTGGATTCTCCGGGGGCAACGACGAAAAAGTCGCCGTTTACGACAAGCCCCTGTTTGCAGACCGAAGATTGGGACTCAGCGGAACTGCAGACCTCTAAAGTCCCAGAGGGGGGCAGTTCTTATAAACCCCTGTAAAAAGCAACAAAAGGCAACCCTTGTGTTTATCCTAGGCTACTGGGCAACCTAGCTTACGGTCCGTTCTGAGGGTACCCTATCTAATCAGACCGGGTAGGCAATTTTTAAACCTTTTTGGTTGTATAGAACCCTACAATATAGAAAAGGTTTAGCTTTTTTGGTCAAGGGCTTTAGCCGCTGTGTAAACCTCCGGATCAAATTCGGACCTGTAGAAGGGACCTTACTCTACAGGACCGGCCATCAACGTCATACTGCACAGGGTTTGGGGTTTACAGGTTCATTTCCAACCTTGCAACACCCTAAACCCTGAACCCGTGTCACCCCTAAACCCCAAACCCTAAACCCTAAACCCTTGTCGCATCTCCCAGGTCAGGCTGGGATTTACAAGTTCGACAAGGAGCGCATGGAGCAAAACGAGGGCCGCACCTTGGCCTAACCTAGGGAGTCCCAAGCCCAAATGGGGTTCAGGGATTAGAGGTTATGGAAATATGTGTATAGGTTTGGGCACCAATAACGTTTTGACGGAAACGTTTTGGCGCTTGGTATTTTAGAACCTACTATCACAATTCTTTTTTTGGTGGGGGGGGGGGGTGAAGGGGAGGGGGGGGGGGGGGGGGGGGGGGGGGAACCCTAGACCCTAAAACCGAACTAACTCCCCAGTAACTTTGACAACGGAGAGACGGTGAACCCAAAGGCTTGGCTCACATTGGCGCGACTGGCGGCATGAAGCCATGGCCTCGGACCTTGTAGCTTTCTGGACTTAGGGTTATTGGGGCTATGAGGGTTAGAGGGTTAGAGGGTTTAGGGTTTAGGGTTAGGGTTAGAGGGTTTAGGGTTTGGGGTTTAGGGTTGGGTGTGTTTATTTAATAGTTAATCTGAGGGTTTGTTTGTAGCTTGTCTGTTGGGGGGGTTTAGGGTGTGGGGTTTATATGGTGTATCTTTTATCTGACTTGAAGCCTTCCATCGCGCTTGCCATGTGCCTCCGCGTTGATCCTCCATCACCCGATGCCCTTAACCCTAAACTTCTAAACCCTAAACCCTGAACCCTAAACCCTAAACCCTAAACCCTGCACCTACACCGCACCCTAAACCCTCAACCCTCCATCATTGATGCCCAGGACCAAGAGTTTCGCTGGAGCAGCCGATGCAGACGACGTTCCGAGCTCCAGCGCGCGGCGCAACGCGCCGGTGGAGTTCGAGCGTGAGGAAGCCGAGCCCAGGTGGGCATAGCAAGGTACTCTGTCACAATGTCTTGTGCATTAGATAAGCATTCTACATACATTTGTGTATATGTTTGTATACTTTGTCTATATTTATATTTATGTGTATAGATAAGTTATACAAGATCCAGGAGCATGGTTTCAGTTTAACACGGTCTCCTGGCATCTCCATGTGTTGCGCAGGGATCGTGCCCAGGGCAGCGGCCAGGGCCCCCAGTTGCCGAGAAGCCGGATTTTGGGCAGGGTTTAGGGTTTAGGGTTTAGGGTTTCGGGTTTAGGGTTTAGGGTTTAGAACCACTGTAAACCTTGAACCATCCTAAGCCTAGATGAAAGGAGAAGTTGCTGCGTTTCCACTTTAGTGTGCAGCAGGCTGCTTCTATTCACGTTCATGCATGCATTCGGCTTCAGCTGGTGTGTCGGTATGCCAATGTATGACAATGTATGACAGTGCTGCCATTGCTGCCATGATGCCTTTGATAGCCAATGTTGCGGTCTTGCCGGGTTTGGATGCCCCAATTGAAGCCTTTTACCCACCTCCAGGCCTGACGCCCCAACATCTCAATCTGGCGAACAGTTTTGGCGTTCGGTCGACCGCAACGTCGTGTACAGGACTGGAGCCCGCAAGCTGGGGCAGCCAGGGACATCCGGAGCTGTGCCACAGACCTTGTGTGCTGATCGCACGGGGCTCGTGTCTCAATGGCATGGCTTGCAACTATTGCCATGATCGTCACGAGGACCGGCCACCCAACCTGGACAAGAAACAGCGTCGGCTTCTTCAAGACATGCTTCCAAAGGAACGCATGGAGCTGCTGCTGCCTCACATCCACACGCGGCTCCACGAGACCCGCATTCAGGGCGGTGGACTGCTCTTTGCCCTCTTGGCGACGGAGCTGGAGCGTGCACGTGGTGTCCAAGTCGATGCAGATCCTGAGGACCTATAGATGCCAGGGCCTAAGTGCAAAATAATCTACATCAAATTGGTATAGCAACTTCCAAAAAAGCAGCCCTCACGTCGCCTGACGTGATTCGTGCCTCTTCCTCTACAGGAGCATCGGCTTTTCGTCATTAGCCGCACCCCGGTCCTACCTAGGCCAGGTCGTTGCCTAAAAGCTGCGCGAATCCCCGGCCAGGACCCAATGCCTAGACGTGCTCGGCGAGATCTCAATCAGGTCTTCGCAAGGATGTCCTTGCGTGCTCTCGTTCCTTGGTGCAGTTGATGAGTTGGTACGAGACACCATGTAAGAAGCTTCTACGATTCCAGTTTTCTACTGCGTAGGCACAGCCGCTACAAACGCAAGGCGCCGTATTGTGTGTTGGGGGACAGGGTTAACGGGTAGCACGGTCGGCATGTAGGTGCAGTCGCTGTGCCACCCAAAGCAGCCAAAGCAAAAAACGAGCTGAAGCGTCTGAGCCCCTCAAAACACTCATATCCACACAGCAAAGGTGGGTCACTTCGGTGCAAGCTGTGGTCGGGTGCAGGAAGCCTTGCAGGCAATGTCGGGCCCTGGGCCACGGCCCTTGGTGTGAAGCTCTCGAGCTTCAGAGAATGAGCACAGGAATGTGCAGGCACTTAATTTGAGTCCTGGACCGTGATTTTTGTTAAAGGACGTCTGCACCAATGTATGTGATGAACAGTTCTCGCCAGTAATATGCCTGGCGTATTCCGATGTGCTGTCATGGTATCGAGGGGTTTGCAGCTCGCGTTCATGGGCATGGTGGCAATTGGGCGACATAGAGTCGGAGACGGCTGCTGATCCCCGGACACAATGTCGTGACAGCACTCAGTGGTGAAGTTGACGCAGAGGGAGTCAGAGACTTCCAACGTCAAAGTATACTTGTTTTCTTGCTTTCGTCGGCATGAGCTCAAGCAACTTCCACTGGCCGACGCGTGAGTACATCAAGAAACGGTAGCGCGGGGAATAAATCATTTGGGCCACATGTGGGCACGGGGTCAGATTCTATTCTCAATTTTGCGTTCCCCCCGCTCCCCACCCCAATCGGTTGTTCCAAGCACAAACATCCCTAAATGTAAACCCTAAACCCCTAAACCCCTAAACCCCTGACCCCTAAAACCCTAAACCCCTAAGCCCTAAACCCTAGGCCGCGCGCGAAGTCGCAGTCCCAGAAGAAGTCGCGACGACGAGACCTCAGAAGACTTCTGGTGATCGCTGTCAGAGGTTTCCATGCTGTGACCCTGCCTTCCAAACATAGGGTTTAGGGTTTAGGGTGTAGGCTTTAGGGTTTAGGGTTTGGGGATTGGCGCTGAGGAGGATTTCCCGCTGGATGGTCTGCTGGAGGCCCTTGCTTGACGAACTGTTGCTGGGTGCGTTCCTGGTGTCTGTTGAGCGCTTACGGTCTATCGTCTGTCTTCTCGGAACTTCAGGACACCACAAAGAAGAAAAGCAAGCCGGCCGTCTCAGGATAAACAGCATGCATCTGCATTCCTCCGTCGGCCGTCCAGTGAAAAGCTTTAGCATGAGTGTCGATCCATGTGAGTTCACTTTTCTCAAGCAACCCGCTGTTGAGGTGAAAGCAGAGCTGCATGCACAATGCGGACGTGGCACACTTGCTGTGCAAGCTTGCCCGAATGGAAAAAAAGCAGCAGCTGCTCGCAGAAAGTTCCTCCAAGCAACCTTTGGCGCTGTTACAGTGCCTGACATGTCCGTGAGCTGCACCGGACCAGAGTTCTGCTGTTCATGGCTCAATGATGCTCAATGTAAGTAAGCTTTCCTTAGTACCTGCATTCGAGGTCACAGGCAAGCAGCAAGGTTCATCAAGCATGAGCAGCCACAGCGATCCAAGTGCCAGCACCTTCTCATGGAAGCAGCGACCATCAGGCAGTAGCAGCACATCCCGAAACCCGAAACCCTAAACCCTAAACCCTGATCCGGATCAAACGCCATGCTGCACGCCCTTCACCGCCCCTTCACCAAGGCGCACGGGAAGGGAGGGAGGACTTGATCGGAGGGAGGCACTGCCCTGGTCAGTGTGCTCAACCATGAATGTCCTGAATGAGCCCGCAAGCACGTAGGTCAGACGGCAAGACCCACAAACACATGTTCTTCAGATTGCTCTTGCATTTCATCGCGGCCACTCTCACTCTCTCTCTCCCTCTCTCTCTCTCTCTCTCAGTCGGAAGTGGGGATTTGGATATCCAACACAGAGACGCTTTTAGAGGACCGTAGAAAAGACATCAAGCCTGCGCTGGCTATGACGACTACTGAACCTTCTCCTGAGACTGTAACAAAGAGTTCAATTATTCCTATAACTCCTACTCAGACTCCAACTATTATGATGAAGGCTACCGCAGATCGAGGGTGGGTTCAGTAGGCTGCCCAACTCTTGATGCAAGCTGTTGGAAGTGGATTTCTTGCCGAGAGCAATGTGGGTCCTGCTCGGTTCGTAGAGGACGTGGGCGTTAACCACAAGTTTGCCGCCGTCAGTGAGGATTTGTGCCCGGTCGGTATGGAAGCGCGCTGATAGAAGTTCAACGTGGGAGTCTCTGCTTTACCTTGATGCAGGTACCTCGCCGAGCGTAAAGCAAGAGAAGAAATCAAGATCCGGAATGACCTGATCCGACAGAAGAAGGCTGCTTTGATCAATGCATGTCTGTCAGTCTGTCCGAACTTGTGCACTACTGCACGTTGAAGGTTCGAGAAGAGGAGATTCGTGAGCAGCAGCTGCGAGACTTGGCCGTGAAGGCTTGGAAGCTGCCTTTTGTTGCCGTAGTCCAGTGGTGTTCTGCCGGCCATGCTTGCAGTCTGCTGAACTGCTGCCTTTCCAGTTTCGGAGGCGAGGCAACAGTGTGCAGAGCTGGCATCAGCGTAGACAGCCCAGGGGGCGGGCAAGGCCATTTGTACAAAGCTGGGGCATGAGATGTTCGCATGCACAGAGGCCGGCCAAGGATGGTGAGGACAACAAGGAGGCCCACGAAAGGCGACAGCGCATGCAGGCCCGAAATGTGGTACCCGCACCCTGAAATCGTAAACTCTAACTCCAGACTTCGGATGCTTTGTCACGAGGTGCTGAAGGACCGGCAGAAGATGATTGCAAGAGACCAGCGCATGGAGCTACGTCCGACTGCCAGAGATCCCATCACTGCATCGAAGCTTGCCCTGGCACATCTGGCAGGCAAGAAGCGGCGACGACGCGAGGAGGACCGGGATATCTCCGAGCGGATCGCACTGGGACAGGCCGAAATGACTGTTGCGCGGCCATCTTAGGGCATCTGCTGTTTGGTCGTCGCAGGCCGGTCAGCCTTCGCGCTCAGAAATGATGTTTGACCAGCGACTCTTCAATCAGTCGGCCGGAATCGTCCTGCCCTAAGATCATGATGCCAGATGCCATGTTCCAAACCGATGAACAGCAAGCTCCTCTGCTTCCTCTGCAGGACAGCGGATTTTTCGGCGGCAGCGACGAAAAAGTCGCCGTTTACGACAAGCCCCTGTTCGCGGATCGAAGATCGGGACTAAAAGTTGGTGAGAGAGTGCATGTTTGGCTGCCCCCTCGGTTGGTGCACGTTCGTGCCCGAGGTCAGGCTTCCATCTACAAGTTTCACAAGGATCCTGTGCTTTCGTCATCATCGATGGGACCAAAAAGGTTTGCCGGAGCAGATGCGAAGGACCTTACAAGCTCCAGCGCTCGGCGCTTTGCGCCCGTGGAGTTTGAGTGTGAGGATGAAGAGGCCCCTGTCTTTCTCACGGGTGGGGGGAGTGACTATCTTTGTGTGCCGTGCTGCTGCCTGCCTGTGCTTGCGTTGTGCAGGGATCGTGTTGAGGGTAGTGGCTGCGCCCTCAGCATCCTCAGGCAGAAAGCCTATGTCAATGGGACCCTAAACCGCCTAAACCCTATCAACCCACCCCGCACGTTGCCATACATCTTTGCAGCTGGTAGCCTAGGCCCAGCACACAGCCACCATCCCATCAAAGTCGTGGCCAGAAGACCTCGGTAGAGTGTATCGCGCTGACACTGCCTCCAGTTGGGTATTTCCGAGAATACGGGTCCCAGCTCAAAGCACCCTATACCTTAACTAAGTCTTGGGAAGCCCCCAATCAAAAGGGCACCCCTCTATTCTTGAAGATCCCCACTTCATGCACCGAGGGAATTTCGAGCTGGATGGTGTGATGCAGGCCACCGGATTGATGGTGCCTGCACTTCTTGGCTGTTGGGTAAGGAGGGTGTGCCCTTCGTCTGTCTCTCCAGGGCACCACAAGCAACAAGAGCAAGTCGGCCGTCCCAGTATGGCGCGAGAGAGAGAGAGAGAGAGTTCAGGGTCGAGCTTGCTTGATCCATGGCCACTCCTTTCCATAAGCCCGAGCAGCCGATCTTTGCAAGCTCAGCACCCCTCTTGAGCAATCGCCCACTGAGGTTGCAAGCAGCGCTGCATGCAGACGTGGCACCCTTGCTGTGCAAGCTTGCTCAGAGCCAAAAATGGAAGAATTCTGCTTGTGCGGCCGCTCTGCTGCCAATAATATCCGACGACAGGCCCCACAAGCTCACAAGCTTCAGCCAGCCTAAACCCCAAAACCCCAAAAAGCCCAGAAGTTTCTGCTAGTGATTTGGCCTGCAGCTTCTGAATCAGCCGCGGGCACATGGAGAACTCGACCGTTTTCTGGACTACTGTGCTGGTCGGTGGCCTGTGGGCTTCATGGCTCACCTGGGCCATCCAAACATGGCGAGTTCACTTCTCTTCACGCCCGGTGAGATCCAACCCCTCGAGTCCCAGCAACGGCCGACGTCCGACGGTCCGCCGCCCAATGCCGAAGTCTGGAGGCTGTCCTGTCCTACTTGGTCAC